GCTCTTCCACATCGGCGCCCAATTAGTTCACGCATGAGCACCCAATTAACACACCCATGAGCGCACAGTTAATTTATATATGAGCACCCAGCTGGATTTTTTTATGCATGGCTGCCCAGTGAATTCCCGCTGGATCGCTCGCTGCTGCTCCGTGCATGAGCGCCCTGGTGGTTGATGCATGAGTGCCCAATTAATTGGCGCACGTGCCTGCAATTAGCTCATGCCTGAGTGTCCAATTAATTCATGCATGAGCACCTGATGCATTCACACCTGAGTGCCCAATTAGTACGTGCACAAGTGTGTTATCTCCTAATTACACTAATTTACACATGAGTGCCCAATTAGCTCACGCAGGAGTGCCCAGCGAACGGGCGCGTGATTGCTCAATTAATCCGTGCGTGAGCGCCCCGTGAATTCACGGATGCCCAAAAAAAATGGATGCATGAGCCCCCAGCTGGTGCGTGCATGAGCGGCCCTTCCACTCTCGCCGCAGCACCCGGGCAGCTCATGCATGAGCACCCAATTAGTTCACCTAGAAACACCCACATAATTTATGCACGAGTGCCCAATTAGTCCACGCATGAACTCCCGGGGTGTTTTTGCATGAGTGCCCCTCAGGCTCAGGCATGGGTGCCCAGTTAGTGCGTGCATAAATGCCCCATTCCTTCACACCTGAGCACCCATTGCTGGTGCCTAATTTCCCCCGGCCTGGGCGCTGCTCTGAGCACCCACAGTAGGTTTAGGCAGCCCCAAACCCGATGGGAGCCCCATCTTGGGGTGATGTGCTGGCTCCCCCAGGCTGGGATGCCCGGGGACCCTGTGAAGGACTCACAGCAGATCCCTGGGGGAAATAAATGCAGGACTGACCCTGCCATGACCCAGTGTGTGGTGCTGGACCAGTTGCCCTTGGGTTGGCACAGCCCATGAGCTGGCATAGGAGTGCCCTGTGGAGGTGAGGGAAGCCACTTTGTGCCTGGAAATAATTAACCGGTTTCCCTGATAAGGCTGCAGTGCCCACGGGATCAAGGTGCTGTCCTGGCAGCTGGGGAGGGGAGATGTGTGGGGGTTCGGTGGAGGCTCCTCTCTGCTGCTGCATGGGGACAGCGCTTGCTGAGCCTTTGGGAACCCAAACCTGCATTAGGACAGAGCCGTGCCGTTGGTTTTGGCACACAGGGGCTGAGCTGAGTGCGCAGAGTCCTGCTCAGGGTCCAGCCCTGCGGCCGCGGCCAATTTCCTGCCCTTGCACACAGAGGAAGGGATGTCAGCAAAAAACAAACCCCTATGGGGCTGAAGCATCACGTCACCTCATGCATCCCACCGTGACCAGGGGTCCCTGAACCATTCGAATGCACCTCCCGCCCTCTTTCCTGCCGCCCCGTCCCCGCCGCGCTCCAGCGAGCACCGAGCTCCCTGCGGCAGGGCCGATTGGGATTTGCAGTCCCGAGTCTCTCCTCTCCGCCTGGAAAACACAAATTAACAGGCTTGAGCACTGATTAACCAGAGCTGATTCTTGCTGCAGTGGCAGCTGGGTGGTGGGAGGAGAGGGGGCACGCGAAGGGCGGGTGGTGACGGAGCTGTCAGTCCTCGCCTGTGCCACGGGGATTGATGGAGCGGTGGGGGGAGAGGGCTGGGGGGGAGTTCGGTACCGGCAGCTGCGAGGAGGGGGCTGGGGGGCTGCTCGGAGGCTCTGCCCCTCTGCGCTGTGCGAGCCGCGAGATGCCAAAACCTTCCTCCCAGCTGAGGTGCGAGCGGGCAGGGACCGACCAGCGAAGACAGAGGGGCCTTGGATGCGGTTTGGCCGTGAGGGGCAGCTCCTGAGCTTCTCTGGGTGCCTGTCCCTGTCCCCTCTGCCTGTCCTGGTGATGCTGAGAGTCCCGTGCCCGGTGATTCCCCGCTCTTTGCACGATGCTGCGGTGCGGGCTGAGCGCACGGCCGGCGCCTGCGGGCATCGCTGGGGCTCCCGGCTCGGCAATGCCTCTTCCAGCGTTGCGGTTCGTAACAAATGATAATACTCTGCCTTTATTTAGCGTCTTTCATCCCCGAGGAAGCCGGGGCACGCTGATACTAACAAGCTGCTACGTGCACTATTTATAGCCCTCCCCAGCGCGGCTGCGGGAGCGGCGGTCCCTGGAGCACGGCACGGCAGCTGAGCCCGGCTCAGGGACCCGGCCCTGCTCTGTGAGGCTGCTGTGGCTCAGCCCCTTCTTCTGGGGCGTCGGGGGAGTGCCTGGCCGGGGTTTATATCGCTGTAAATTGCCGTGTGTCCGCTCAGCATCGCGCCGGAATCGATGCTGCGGGAGGGAGATGCAGGAGCTGCCGCTGCACAGGTACTGTCAGTGAGCCCGGCTGGGCTCTGCCTGCCGGGGACATGCAGAGCACAGGGACAGCGCTGTCCCCGCCCTGTGTCCCCTGTCACCAGCCTCGGGACAGGTGGCTCAGCCACGCACTCAGTAGCGTGTCCCCAAGGCTTCTGTGGCTGCAAGTAGGGCATTAGCATTCCTAATTGGTGCCACTCGCAGTGTCAACACCCAGCAGGGCCGGAGCGGCTGGAAGTGGCAGCCATGAAGTTATCATCCGTCCCGGATCCCGAACAGCAGATAAGGGAGGCAGGTTCTGCTCAGTCCCCACGCTGGATCAGGGCTGGGGGGGGTTCCCTGCCCTGGGAACACTCTGCCCCTGGGCAGACGGGACATTTGGTGTCAGTGGAGCGGTGAACCCAGAGGTGGGTGGTTTTCCAAGGGCTGAGAGATGAGGCCATGCTCCCACCTCAGGACAAACCCCGCAGATTCCTCAGCACCCAAGGCTGGAGGACAGGCACCGGTGCCAGTGTGCTGGAGGAGGGATGAGGCTCTATGGGGCTCCATGCCAGGATGCACATTAACAAATCCCTCGCTGGGAGCCCTGTGCTGATTTCCAGCCTGGCACCTGAATGGTTCCCTCCGTCGGAAAAGCCTCTCCTGGGAGCATCACACATCTCTCCTGCGGCACGAGGGGAGCTGGCTCCGTCCCTCCCTCCCGCCTCAGCCCGAGCGTGTCATTACCAGCATTTCTCCCATACTAAAAAAAGCACAAATTTCTTAATTGTTTCCTGCTGGAGTTGAAAGGCAGCTCCCGGGCCCAAAATAGCACGCTGGGGGAAAAGCAGTCGAACAAGAGAGAGCAGAAGGCGATTTGCCTGGAGGGGTTGAGCCGAGCTGTGACTGCAGCCCCGGCTGCTGCCGCGTCCATTTTGCCTGCCCCGAGGGATCACCCTCATCCTCCTCCTTCCACCTGCCCTCCTCGGTGCTCTTGGGTGCCTGGACCTGCAGAGCCGGTGCCTGGGGCATCCTCAGGGTGGAGGCCACGGCTGGTGTCTCAATGCAGGTGTGTGCAGGGAAGCCTGTTCCTGTTGGAGATGTCACTCAGCATCTCTCTTTTGGGAAGATGCTTCTGTGCAACCTATTTTATTTATTTATTTTTTTTGGAGGGAAGGGGAAATCCTTTGGAACTGCTATGACTGATGCTTTAGCTCACCCCAGCTCGGCTGCAGGATGCAGTGTGTCCTTCCCGGCTCCCTCCTGCCAAGAGACTGCTGCCTGCCCAAAACAAACAGCCCTCCAAATCCCTGCTGCGACACTGCCAAAGCCCTCAGTGTTCTTCATCCCAGATGCTGAGCATCCCTGTGCCTCATCCCCTCTCCTGGGGGAGCTGCTGTCCGGACACCCCCTGGTGCTACAGTGGGTGCTGCTTTTGCCGAATCCCAGGGGAAGCGTGGGAATTGGAAGCTCTGTCCCTCCAGCGGCCCCTGTGCTGGGACGGAGGGACCCTCCAATGCATAGGGACAGCCTTGGGCACAGAAATTCCTGCTACCAGGGGTGCTGGAGCCAGAATCCAGCTGGTGATGAGGTGGGGGCCGTTGTGTCCCCTCCTGGCTGCCCCAGTGCTGCCACCCCAGGCTTCACCTCTGAGCTCTGTGCCTTCATCCAGGCACGTTACAAATCTTCCTGATGGAAAATTGCTTTCTCTTTTTTTCTTTCCATCCAAGGTAATTGGCATCTGTTGGTGTGTCTTCGGTCTCTATTTTTATCAGCCGTTTGCACATTGACATCTCCACTCGCCTCATTATCACCACGCCTTTCAGACCCGTGGCTTTTTTATCATTATTTAGATGCACGACGCAAAGGAAATGACAAATGAGGCCGTTCCCCCCTGTGCCCACCTGCTGGCACCTGGCTCCCCGCTGTGGGGAGGCACAGGCACAGCTCCTGCAGTGGGACACGCAGTGACAAGTGCCAGCCCTTTGCCCAGCATCCTGCATCCCTCAGAGCCTCTCCTCTGCTGAGGACATTTTTCATCTCAGCAGCTGTCCCTTGGCTGGGGACACTTGGGTTTGCCAGTGCTGTCTGTTTTCTAGTTTGTCGTGTTTTGGGGGTTTTTCCAGAGCCTGGTGAGGCTGCCCAGGCTGCTGGGATGGGTTTGATGAGTTTCTCCAGAGGCAGCTGGTACCTGGGGGGATGCCAGCCCTGGGGCTGTGCCTGTGCCCACGTTCAGTGTGTCAATGTCAGGGCCAGGCAAGTCCCTTCCCTGAGCCACCTCCAGGCAGATGTTTTGGCAGATGTTTTCAGGGTTGTTTTAGCTCTGGGAAGATGAGACAGCAGGGCCAGATCCTCCAGCTTGTCCCCTTCATGGCCCATGGTAGTTCTGCACTCCCCAAACACAAGACAAAACATCTTGGGAGTCTCCCTGGTTTTGGGGGTCCTCAGCACCTGCAGCCCTGGCCCCATGGACCACCTGGGTTGACCTAGACTGTGCCTCAAAAGCATTTTCTGCCACATGGGGAGCACATGGGGAACACTTGGCAGCTCATTGAGCCCTGGGGCATCCCCCAGAGAAGTCATTGTTGGGAGCCCCAGGGCATTCCCCAGGGAATTCACTTCTGTGCAGTGCAGAGGAACAGCTGTCACTACAAAAGCACTAAATTTCTGTCTCTTCTTTCTCTTTTCTCCTGTTTTCTCTTGCAGTCACGGAGAAGGAGGTGCAGCAGTGGTGAGTGCCTGCCATGGTGGTGAGCTGGCTGGGGCATGGGGCTGTGGGCAGGGGACAGGAGCTGGTGGCACTCAGCCACCCCACGGGCCAAGCAGAGCAGGGACGTGCAGGAGGTGTGACAAGTGCACCTGTACTGAGCTGCAGGTGCTGCCTCACAGAGGGGAGACCAGAAAATAGAGGGGTTTTCCTTGGATACCCCATGCAAGGGCTGGGTTCTAGTGGCTCTTCCCTTCCCACACGAGCAGCCAGAGAGCACGGGGACATGGGCACTGTCCAGCTGGTGACCTGGTGCAGGAGGCTGGTGCTGTCCCAGCACGTTCCCTTTGGCAGCAAGGCCTGCAGAGGCTGTCAGGGGTAAGATCCACAATTTCTTGCCAGCAGCACGCTCTCACTCCATCCCCTCCACCCCACCGAACACAGCGCCCTAGAAAAGCCACTGCCTCCCTTTCATCTTCCGATCCCACCAGTCAAGGTTTGCTTTCTTTATCTCTTTTTCTCATCCTTCCCCCCCCACCCGATGAGTCATAGCTGCAGCATCGTGAAAAGATGTCACCAGCACTTCGGTTTCCCACCTCGCCACCCCCTTCCCCTCCTCCTCCAGCCCTGGTCCCGCTGCAGCGGGTGCCTGACAGATCTGGGCGATGTGTTGCATAATTTTCACGTACCCCACGTGATCCCCGTGTGGTCCCACATGCTCCCTTCCTGCTCCCTGCGTGGTGCCCACACCCACGGAGCCACCGAGCCCCTTCCCTGCACGCTCCGGTGCAGCTGCACCTTCCAGCACCAGGTCCAGCCTGGAGCTGGGTCCGGGGACTTTTTGGGGTGTTTAAGCATTGATGGGTTTTGGAAATGACCTGGGCTGTGCCACCTGAGGACACAGGAACCCCGCTGCGCCCCCCAGCTCCTCTGAGCAGCTTTCATTTGGCGTTGTGCAAAAATTATCATGGAATATCCTGACTTGGAAGGGACCCACGAGCATCATCATAAGTCCAACTCCTGGCCCTGCACATCCCAAGAATCCCATGTGCCTGCGAATGCTGTCCAAACACTTCCTGACCTCTGGCAGGCTTGGTGCCATCACCAATTCCCTGGGGAGCTTGTTCCAGTGCCCAACCACCCTCACAGAACTCAGTGGTCACTGTGCCGTTGTTTTTTGCCAGGGCGTGGCTGCAGCGTGGCATTGCTGTCAGTCCTGGCTGGGCAGTGGGTCCCTGTCACCTCCCATCTCCCAGACAGTGTTTAACACAAGCCTGGTTGTGGCAGCAGGTTGGAGCAGTGCAGTGGGCACCACTCAGTGTCACTGGTGCTGCTTGTCCCCACTGCCACCCTCACTGTGGTGCCCACAAGGACCTCATCCACAGGGCTGGGATGCTGTGGGGGGTGATGGGAGGGACACAGGGAGCACCTGGGGTCCATCCCAGCTCCAGCCCACTGGGGAGATCCTCCCATCTCAGTGGGGAGACCCTCCTGGGCCCATGCTCTGCCCTCCATTCACAGGTACAAGGGCTTTATCAAGGACTGTCCCAGCGGGCAGCTCGATGCCGCCGGCTTCCAGAAGATCTATAAGCAGTTCTTCCCCTTCGGTGACCCAACCAAATTTGCCACCTTTGTTTTCAATGTCTTCGATGAGAACAAAGTAAGTCTGGGAGGCAGAGGCGCAGTGCAGGGCGGTCAGGCTGGGCCCGTGGTGATGGTGGGATGGGATTGGAATGCATCTGCCTGGCACTGGAGGAGCAAAATATTCCAGCACTTCCTGGGGCGTGAAATTGAAGCGGCACAGCTGGAGCGAGCCCCCACGCTTATTTCAGTTGAGGAGAATCACGTGGGGAAGGGCAAGGAAGAGGCAAAGCAGGAAAGGAGAAGCGCCTGCCGTGCTTTGGTGCCGCTGACAAAAGCCGTCCATGCGCTGCCCCTGCATTCCTGAGCTGCTCCTGCCGGGATGTTCTCGTCTGGGCTGGGCACCAGCAGCTGGATCACAGTGCTGGAGATAAACGTGCATCACTCCTCCCTCCCTGCTGCCTTTTTGGATGTGTCCCCTCAGAGGGGATACACGGGCAGGGAGCACTTTGCTGGGCAGGAGTGGTGGCAGCTCCCTGACCCCTCCTTTCCTCCCCCAGGACGGGAGGATCGAGTTTTCAGAGTTCATCCAGGCACTGTCGGTCACCTCCCGGGGAACGCTGGACGAGAAGCTGAGGTGTAAGTGCTGGTCCCCTGTGGGATGCTGGTGGGCTCAGCCCCACGAGGCTGCTGGAGGTGTGTCCAGGGCAGGGGACACAGTCCCAGCCCCTGGCTGTTGCTCTGTCCTGCAGGGGCGTTTAAGCTGTACGACTTGGACAACGACGGATACATCACGAGGAACGAGATGCTGGACATTGTGGATGCAATTTATCAGATGGTGGTAAGAGGGACAGGGGGGCACGGGGTGAGCAGCCCCTGGGGGTTCCTGCTGGGCTGGAGTGGGAATGATGAAACACCCCCAATTCCTTCTTTGGCCTTTTTCTGTGGGGGGTTATGGCCATCATGGCTGTCATAGCCAGGGCAGTGTTTGGGTCTGGTTGCTGAGAGTGGTTTTAGTGCCAACACCGTCCCCTTGCACCCTGTCCTGATGTGAGGTGTGGGGGGACAATCCTCACTCGGGGACACCCTCCAGGCAGGGCACAGAAGGGTGTGTGACCTGGTCCTGTCCTGCTGCTGCAGGGAAACACAGTGGAGCTTCCCGAGGAGGAGAACACACCAGAGAAGAGGGTGGATCGGATTTTTGCCATGATGGACAAGGTGAGGAAGCTTGAGGGCTTTCCCCCTGTGGCCAAGGGATTTAGGAGGTGCTGTGGGTCCTTTTGCTGAGTCTTGGCTCCTGCAGGTGCCTCCTTTCCCCACCAACACAAGGTCTCAGCTGCTGCCAAGATTGCTGTGATCGCTCTGGGATCCCTGTATCCATTCCAGGGTCCCCAGGGTGGCATTGTCCCCTCCATGGCTGCAGGCACGGGTGTCTCTATGGGGAAACCGAGGCTGAGTGGAGTGGGGAGGATGTGTGGGCTGGTGTGGATGTGCTCGGCTGGGGTGGAGCAGTGCAGTAACAGGGGTGTTTTACAGAACGCTGACGGGAAGCTGACGCTGCAGGAATTTCAGGAGGGCTCCAAGGCCGACCCCTCCATCGTGCAGGCGCTCTCCCTCTACGATGGGCTCGTATAGTCCCGGGGCCGAGCGGCGGTGAGTGCAGCACCAGGGGCTGCAGGGGCCCCATCTCCCACCTGCCTCACACCATTCCCACCTCCCCCAGGCACGGGCAGCTGATTCTCCTCTGCTGGAGCACCAAAATATGGATATCCCCCCAAATCCAGCCAGGGGGAATGTTGAAACCCATTCTGATAGGTTGAGGATGTTGAAACTCATTCTCATTGGGAGAAACCCATTCTGATAAGTTCCTCCCAGTCGTCCCCGTATCACTGAGCCCCCTCAGACCTCACCCCGTGGAGATGGAATTGTTTGCCTGCGGCACAGCTCACGCCCTCAGCAGCAGATGTGGCTGCAGAGGAGGCAGGGAGGCAGCTGGTGTGCTGGGGGCATGGGGACGCTCCAGAGACAAGATTATATTAAATGTTTTATTTATCTTATCTCTTATTATGTTATGCCCTGGAGCTGGGTTTGGCAGGGCAGTGTCAGGGACACTGGTTCACAGCATCATACAGGTGCTGGGCTGAGCACCCCGTGCTCCTTGCTGTGCCCCGTGGAGCTGTGCAGAGTCCCTGGGAGTGGTTTTGGTCATCGCACTCCAGGCAGTGTCCTGGGGGTGGGGTGTTTTTTAAGCCCGTAGGAGTTTTGAGATTTTCAATATCTATTCTGTTTCCAGCTTTGCCCTTCCAGCTGTTCTAGTGTCCCATGAGATGCCCACAGGGATTTCTGGCCATTCTTCTCACCCTTTTTCCCTTGTCCCCGCCCTCTCCTGCAGATGCCTGGGGGAAGATGCTCTCCGTGCCATCCGACCACCGCCGCGCGAAGCTTGCCTGTCCCTCCCGGCCTTCCTTTCTGTTCCACGAGCAAGGGATGCCCTCGAAGCGCGAGCTCACTGTCCCTCTCTGCACTCTGAACCAGCCGCTGCCATTCGCCAACTTCTGCTTTTTCCAAAAAAACCCCGCGCCAGACCCCGGTCTGAGCGGCAGCGAACGCCCAAGACTTCAGGGCCGGGGGAACGGGTGGAGCATCGCCGCAGGCAGAGCCCCCTCCTCGCCCCCTTTGCTCCCTTTTTCCTACATTTTCGGATGGGACTGCGGATGTGCCGGTGGGGTCCTCTCTTGGGAACCAGCCAGAGATGGAGCCCAAAGGTCCCGGGGGCTGCACCCCTGGGCTCTGCCCGTGTGGGGTGGCCGTGGAGCCGAGGCACCGACAGCGATTGGGAACAGAGTCCTGGCGTCACCCACGATGCCACTGGCAGCCCGGCTCGGCTCACTAGGGATATATATTATATTATTTTATTTTTTTTGGTGAGACAGTATTGTGCTTTTTTTGGTTTGGTTTTGTTTTTTTTTTTTGTTTTCCTTCGGTGGAAAAAAGTGAGGCTTTTTTTTTTTATATGCCTATCCCGACGATCGATATCCTTATTTATTTGTTGTAAATGTTGCTGCTGTGTTTCGTCTCTCGTGTGTGTGTCCACCCACCCAGGTGAGGATTTGTAAGGTTTACATGCTCGTACACTATTGCGGGGACCCGGGAGCCTGCAATAACAATGAAGCCAAAAATCTGCCTTCCCCCCTCTCCTCCCACCCCCTGTATCCCAAGCTCCGTGGGCTGGCTGCTGTTTGGAGGGGATGCTGTAGCTTCTTTTCCTCTTCCTGTTCTCAAGTTCCCTGCATTTTTCTGTTCAGCCTTCCCTTTGGGAGCTCAGTGGGGGCTCACTCAGCCCAGACTCTGAGCAGACCAAGCTCCATCCCTCAGTCGGGCAGGGAGAGGAATTTGCTGAGCACCATTTCCTTCCTTTTATTCCTTTTCTCACTGCATGAAAAAGTATTAATGGAGCCCAGAGTTGGGTTTTGCTTCCAAGCAGATTCCTTTGCTATGTTCTGCTTTGCAAACGGTGGGAAGGTGTTTGGTGGTGGCTGTGAATCATCCTTCAAGGGGAGCCTTGCTCTGTCTTGCTCCATCCCCCCATCCACGCTGGGACAAGGTGACAGGGAGTGCCAGGCTGGGCTGTGCACAGCTCAGGGTGTCTCCTTACCCCGTCACTCCCACAGGACGTGGGAGGTTTTGCTGTGAACCCAGGGTGGAGCTGCTTGCACCCGCCTTGGAGGAGGCAAAGGGCTGGGAATACACACCTGGGGACACTGGGCTGCAGCCCCCCTGTCATGAGCAGGGCCTGCATGGCCTCTCCAAACTCCATCAACACCCAGCACCCCTCTGGGATGTGCTCCCAGCTCAGCCCCACCAGCACCCACACTGTGGGACACAGTTGGCATCTCTGCTGGAGAATGAGCAGTGCATGGGTGATGCCTCAGCTGCCTTGGCCCCTGCTCTGGGAAAGGAGAGATGTGCATCCCTCTGGAGCAGAGTGCAAGAAGCCTTTGGGACCCCTAAAGCCATCCTGGGGCCTCACCCTTCTATCTCTGCTCCAGCTGGTGGTAGCAGCATCTTTCCACCCAGCTGTCTCCCAGCTCCTGTGGCTAAGCCCAGACAGAGGACTGTCCCCATGGCAGTGGGAGGTGACACCTGGATGTGGAGGGCAATCTGACAGGTGTCTCACGATGCAGGAGATAAGGTGGTGTCTCAGTATTCCCTGAATCCTCCCAGCATGGCAGTGACAGATGCCCCAGCCAAGAGATGCTGGCTCTTCACCGTGCAGGCCCTCTCCTCAGTTTTGGGATTTTGTGCTTGTGGTACTTCCTGATGCCCATAAAAAAAAACAACACTTTTCCCCATCCCCAAGGAGACTGACCTCACATCCACGTGCAATATTTCTGCCTCTTCTGCAGTTCCTGCCCCTGAGGATGCCCATGTTTCATTGTGGGGGTGCTTCTGGAGGGTGTCCCTCACTCACTCCCATGGAAACCTCCTTTTCCTTATTGCCCTGTGGCCAAAATGCAACTCTCTGGGGTAGGTTTTTGCAGTGCCTGCAACTTGTTGAATGCTCGTCTGCCAGACTGGTCCCCTCCTGGTGCCAATCGATGTTCCCAATGAATGTGACACTGCTGTAATCACCTCTGCTGATGAATGATGGGCCCTGCCACGTTTGACATAGTTCCCAGGCAAAGGCAAACCTCATTTGCTCTGACACTTTTCCCCTGGAAAGCTTTTAATTTTTGGAGGACCTGTCATGAGTTGAGCTCCATCAGTGCTCACAGATGTCTCCCCAGGGACCCAGCCCTGCCAGGGCTCTTGGCACACTGAGTGTCCCTGAGCAAAAAGTTTTGGCCCCAGTGTTCCCCCCTACTGCTGTGGATTTGGGACCCTGGCTTGGATGCTTCTAGCCTCTCTTTTGGGGAGCACCAAGGGCCCCTGATTCCTCCTGAGCACCACCAGGATCTGCAGCACCTTGCTACCACTGAAAATAAGGCTTGGAGCGTCTCGTGCTTGGAAATGTTGGCCTTAACCTCCTCGTGCCTCAGTTTCCCCATCAGTGCAGTGGCTGGGGTGAGCCATCCCCCTCTGGTGTCTGTGCCCTGCCCAGCACAGGGTGCTGGGTACAGCTCAGGGCTTGGCAGGACCCACCGAGCATCAGGAAGATGCAGAACACCAGGAATGGTGTGTGAAACGCTGGGGTGGAATTTACATCAGCGAGTCTTTAATTCCAGCCTCTGTTTTCCACCTGCTCATGGTGAAATGGCCAGCAAGCCCTGGTTTGTCTCTGTTCGTACTCGGGTTCCTGGTGCCTGTCCAAAATAGAGCCCTGGCCATGGGAAGGGGGCCCAAAGCACAGCCAGGCAGAGGTGAGGGTCCAGCCCCGGTGACTGTGGCATGTGCCCCCCTCTCATTTGTCCCTGTCAGTGTTGCCCCATTAAATGCCATGTCTGTACTTTCCTTTCTTTTCACTTTTCTGTCTGTGTGCTGACTGTTGCTGCTTTGTATCTGTCTTTCCTTGAGCTCTGGGACTGGGCTGGGCTGAGCTGTTTCCCCCGGGAGCAAGAATGTGGGAGAGGGCTCTGGGGGCAGATTCCCCCCTGCCCTCTCCTCACAGCACAAACCAGGACCCGAGAGAGAGAAGTGAAGGGTTTTTCCTCTGGAACAGGCTGTTAATTAATGCAATTTGTAACGAGACAAGGCTGGTCCCAGGAGTTCTCTCCATGGGGTTGGTGGAAGGGGGTGGTTGGGGGGTGTTTCCTTATGGGGAACCCCAGACCCTGCTTGTGCCAGGTGCCAGCTGCATCTCACCCTCCTTCACAGAAGCAGTTGGTTCTTCCCGTGCCATCAGGACACCACATTCCTGTTGGATGGGAAGGCTGAGGTTGTGGGAATCCCAGCCCAGGTCACTGCTCCTCGGTGGCCCAGAGGTGGAATTGTCTTGGAGTCTTGGGATCTGGGTTTGAGCCCCGCTTGGAGCAGGGCTGGCTTTGAAGCAAGGCCAGGCATGGCTTGGGGACAGCTGAAATCGCTGGCAGAGCTGTCCCCTTCCCATGTATTTAAGGTTGGGGGGGGTCATTTGGGATGGGTGAGTGACCTGCAGCCAGCTCACTGTCCCCCATCCAAGGAGGAGATTTGGGGCATTTAGTGAGAGCATCTGTCACCTGTTTTTGGAGGGGAGAGTCTGGCTGGGACAGAAGCGAGGGCTGAGAGCAAAGGAGGGAGCTGATGGCCCCAGTCTCAGTGCACAGTTTGGGGTGCAGCAGTTTTGGGGTCTCAGTTACACATGTCAGCCCTGCCTATTCCAGCAGCGCTGCAGCAAAGTCATCCTTCCCTTCTCTCTCTGCTCCTGTGGCCACCAGCCCCGGGCTGGGTGCCCTGTGCCACAGGTGTGACCCGTGCCCAGGGGGTGGCCGAGCCCCGGGCTGAGAAGCAGCAGCTGCAGCAAAGAGCCTTGTTTGTGAAGATGAAGCCTGTGTGTGCGTCCGTGCCGGTGTCTCGGCTTGCATGCCCCGCTGCCTTGTCTTGAGATGAATTCAAGAGCAAACCAAGCAAATGAAACAGTTTAATAACAGAACAAAACAAAACCCAGGAACTTTGTGACAGTGGAAATAAAAGCTTAATGACAGTAATGATGTGGCAGTGGTCTGTGATGAGCTGTGGGGTGGGGGGGTTCATGGGGGCCCCCAAAGCTGCCCTGGCGCCCCCCTGGCTGGGGGGTGTCACTGTCCCAAGCACAGGAGGGGATGCTCTGTGGGCAGGCAGGCAGTCAGGCACTGTGCCCACACCTCTGATGAGCTGTCAGGTCTCAGCTCCAGGCATCTCAGGCACCTTTCACCCCCTGACACTGCTCTTCCCACCTGCTTTTTCCCAGACACAGCTTTCCCTCTGCCAGGTCCCATCCTGACGCAATGAAGACACAGCCATGTGCCCATGGGCACCGTCCCTGTCCCCTCTGAGCCCCCTCATTGATGCAGTGGGCTGAGAGCCATTGGGTCACTTTTGGCACACAGTGGCTGCAGAGGAATCTTGATATGAATATTCCATAATTGTGCCCAGACAAGGGGTGCCCCTTGGCAGCCCCCCAGCCCCTGGCAGAGCTCACAGGGGGGGTTCATAGCCTGGACTGGGCTTTTCACGTGCAGTGGGGTCGCATTGGCCATTCTGTGCTGCCAACTCTTCCGGAAACGAGCCCTGCGAGGCCTCCCTGCCAGCCCATGTCCCTTGTGTTTGCTCTCCTAACGAGCCTGACTAATTATTTTCAGGAGGCCAGAGGAGATGCCCTAATGGTCCAAACAAGGAGGCTGTGTTTGTGCAGGGGGTTTTGTCCAGAGGTGCTTTGTGCCAGCACATGGTGGGAACTCCCAGGGATTTCTCCCCTGCCATGGAGTGGGCAAGGACAGGCACAGGCTCTGGGTAACCACTGTGGTTTGGAGCTTGTGCCTTAACTCCCAGCTGGAAGGGGTTAAAGCCCAGCTAGCATAGGTGCTCCTGGGACTGGGGGCACTGGTGAGTGTGGGAAGGGTGGGCTGGGATTAGTCTGATAATGAGGAGAACCTGTTGAGATTTCTTTGTGCCAGCAGTGCTGGTGCTCCCTGCCAGGGTGCAGGATGGAGCAGGTTGGTGATTGGGGGTGCTCTAAGGTAGGTTTTGTGGCACTGTGGGGTGGGGGACTCCCCTCAAATCTGTGGGGCTGGGAGTACAAAGCCTGGGGGAGTGCAAGCCCTGGTTGTGGGACAGGATGGGGACAGGCCACTGGCACAACCCCAGGGGCAGAAGTGTCATTGCCCTGCTGTAAGGAGGATGTCCCTGCTCACTCTGAAGTTGGACTAGGCTGAGCCCACGCTTGCAGGGATAAAGGAATGCACAGGATGCTCCCACTGTCCTGTGTGTGGGCCGTGAGATAGGCGATCTCCAAGGTCCCCCAGCTCCTTTGACCGGGAGGAGCAGGGCTGGTGCTGGGGGTGCAGGAGGTGCACAGCTTCACCTGGAGCTGGCTTTTGGCCGTGGCTGCTCCCTGGGTCCTGCTGCGGGGGAGTTGAGCAAGAGCAGAGCATCCCTGTGGAGCAGCCATGAGCTCAGCGCTCGGCTCCGAGGGCAGCCAGGAAAGCTCCGCAGCCCCAGGCAGCGCTCCCGGCCAAGGGCTGCCTGTCCCGGCCAAGCGCTGCCGCTCCCAGCCCATGTCCCGGCTTTGTCCGCGCTCTGCGCGCCTGTTTGCTCCCTGTTCGTGGGGTGGCTGAGCCCACCCGAGCCCCCTGAGCTCCACGCCCCCCATTGCAGACCCCCATTCCAGGGCCCCTCTGCCCAGCAAAGGGGGGGTTTGAGTCCTTGGGGTTCCTTTCGCAGCTGTCTCTGTCCCCGCTGGGGTTTGGCAGGGTTTCCTCACAGGTGCTCACTGTGACCCCCGTGTCCTCCCCTAACCCCCTGCTCCCCCCAGCAGAGCAGGGTCTGTCGGGGCTGGGGAGGGGGCCTGGGCAGTGTTTCTGACAATCCCGTGGGCTGCAGGATCTGCTTCCCAATCTCTGGATCTCCATCCCGATTTCCTCCAGCTCCCACCCACCTCCCTGCCGCGTCGCTGGCTCCAAAAGTCCGGTTTTTCCTCCCGCCCTCCGTCCTCCCTCCCAGAAGCTGAGCGCTGGAGCAGCAGGTCCGCAGCTGCGGAGCCCTGGGCGTTCCCTGCCCGGGGTCCCTTCTCCGTCCCCGCCGCGTGTGGCCCCTTGCACACCGCGTCCCTCCCCTGGTGGGGACAGTGCCCAGCGGGAAGGGCAAGGACAAGGACAAGAGGGGTGTCCCTGACACCTGAGCGTCTCCCCCGCCATGCCACCCCACGGAGGGGTGTTTGTGGGTCTCTCGATGCTGCTGGCCCTCAGTCTGGCCCAGAGCCCCCCAGGGTGGGCCACTCTTGCCTTTGTCTTCGATGTCACCGGCTCCATGTACGACGACCTGGTGCAGGTGATGGACGGGGCCTCGCGCATCCTGGAGCGGACGCTCAGCAGGAGCACGAAGCCCATCAGCAACTATGCCCTGGTGCCCTTCCATGACCCAGGTACGTCCGGGGCAGGGTGAGGGTGTGTCCTGCCGGGGATGGGGCTGTGGAGAGCTGGGCTGTGGTTCTGGCTGGGGCTGGGGCTGAAGTATGCACTTCACAAGTGCTTGCACTGCTCCTTCTCCCTGTTTTTAATGCCCCGGTGAGTGCTGTGGTGGGGATGGCATCTTAACAGCTGGGAGCTGGGCTGGGGTTCCTGTCCCCAAGCCACCCTGTGGGTACAGGATGGGCTATTTCCACCGTATTAATCCCAGGGGTGCTGACACTTTGTTGTGGGTAACTCTTCCCCATCCATCGTGCTCTAAATTCCCAGGAGTAATCATGGTGGGTATTTCTGTCCAAGGCCACAACGTGCTTCCAGGTCACCTCAGTAAAAACACCACTTGCTTTCAGGCTTTGGTAACTTGCTGTGATACCAGAATAACTTCCCCTGCCCCTGATTTTGTCTTCTTTCTGTGCACACCCACAAAAGGGCAACTGTTCCCCAAAAGAGCCCTGGCCTTCTACAAGGAGAATGAGACCCAAGCTTTATTTTCAGCAGAAACACTGAGTTGATTGAAAACCATTGGAGCCAGACAGGGAAGGAGGCAGAGGCAGTGAATTGATTCCTGCATTGCTTTGCTGGGAGCCTCCCCCAGTAGAAAAGGGCACTGGGTTTGCAGCTCAGCCTGGCTGGGACCACCCAGCGTGTCAGGAGAAATTCCCGGGCATAGGAATAGTTTGCTGAAGTGGTCACAGTATGGGCACAGGGGCTGATCTGCCCAAACCCTCTTCTCTCCTGGTGCCAAGCCAGGGTAGATGCTGCACCCTGGGTACCACAGGTGTTTGAGCCAGGGCAGGTGCCAGGAGTGCTGGCAGTGTGGGTGGTGTTGGAAGGAGCTGGGGTCAGGGGGCTGAGGTGGTGGTGTCCCTGTGCTTGCAGAGGTGGGACCTGTCACCCTCACCACGGATCCCCAGCTCTTCCAGCAGCGCCTAAGGGAGCTCCATGTCCAGGTAGGCACCTGGGGGCAAGCCTGGCACTGCAGGGTGGTGGGTTCTGAGAGTGATCCCCGCATCCTCAAGTGTGATGGGGGTTCAGGCTGAGCCAGACAGGCTGGGGGCTGCACACAGGGTGGGAGTGGAAAGGATGGGTAATGTTGATACTGTGCCCCAGAGTCCTGCAACAGGGCAGAGAATTCCCAGTCCACAGCTCTTGTCCCTGATGGAGATGCTGTTCCCAGGAGAGTTTGCACAGATTTTCCGTGGAACCAAAAATCTCCTCTTCTAGAACCGTTGCTTGATAATTGAGTTTTTAATTTCTGACTTTTTTTGTTTTCTTCTTTAATTATTTTGTCTGTTTTCTGCCAGCTGAAATGTTCCCTGGGATCTTAATCCTGCTTTATCCATCCCCACTCTTGCCCTGCCTCCTGTGAATTGCTAAATCCCTGTGATGTTTCCCTTCGGATGCAGCTGTTTTGGCAGGAGGTGTAACGCTGAGGCTGCAGATGGTTTCCCAGCCCTTTGGGGTGCCAAGCCCTGGGAAAGTGGGAGCTGGTCCTCTCTGTGCCAGGAGGCTTCCCTGGGGTGGCTGTCTCTGCAGCTGCAGGGGTGGGCACAAATGTGCCCACTAAAGGTACCTGTGGGAAACCACTAGCTTCTATGAGCGTGGATCCCCAAAGGGGTGCTTTAATTAGCATCATTAATGAGGCAGGGCCGGGTCTGTGCTATCCTGAGTGTCCCTGCAGCTCCATCCGGCTGACTTCAGAAAAACGGGGTAGTTCCCCCCAGTGAGCATCCCCTGGGTGGGATCCTGCCGGGAGCTGAGCACTGGGTGCTCGGTGCCACGTCCCCTGGCTGTGTCCCTCAGGGCGGGGGGGACTGCCCGGAGATGAGCGTGGGAGCCATCAGGGTGGCCGTGGAGATCTCGCATCCCGGGTCCTTCATTTACGTCTTCTCGGATGCTCGGGCCAAGGACTACGAGCAGCAGGAGGAGCTGCTGCGGCTGCTGCAGCACAAGCAGAGCCAGGTGAGCAGCCCTGGTGCAGCACCACATCAGTGAGACGCAGCGGTAAAACCCCTGGGCTGGGGGAATTGTGCACCCCGAGCCTATTCGATGTGCTGGGGTGCCAGCTGTGCCCCCTCCCGTGGGGGGTGGGATGTCACGGGTCCCTTGCTGTGGCAGGTGGTGTTTGTGCTGACGGGGGACTGCGGGGACAGGAGCCACCCCGGGTACCGCGTGTACGAGCGCATCGCTGCCACCAGCTCCGGGCAGATCTTCCACCTGGATAAGCAGCAGGTGACAGAGGTGAGTGGGGACACCTGGCCCCTTGTGCTGAAGGCCATGTGCAGGCCATGCCTGTCAGTGAGGGGAGATGCAGGTTTAATCCTCCTCTGCCTCCCTCCAGGTGCTGAAGTGGGTGGAAGAGGCCATCCAGGCTTCCAAGGTCCACCTCCTGTCCACAGACCATGAGGAGGGTGGGGAGAACACATGGCAGGTCCCCTTTGATCCCAGCCTGAAGGAAGTCACCATCTCCCTGAGTGGCCCTGCGCCATGGATCAAGGTCCGGGATCCTGCAGGTAGGAGTCCAGGGGAGAGAGACAACAAGGGGGAGGTGATGCTTTGCCCCCCAGAAAGACCTCAGGTGAAGACAAGCAGGAAGGGGTTCACCAAACCCTGCCCTAAACCTCAAATGAGAAGGTGATGAGCTACAGAGCCCTCAGTAAACACCAGCACATCTCCCTGCTCCCCTCCCAGGCTGGCTTTGCCTCTGGCTTTGAGGGTTTTCCCTGCTGCCCTGGCTGTGAGCTGTGATGGGCTCGGCACTACCCTGAGCCCTGAGGGAGGCGACTGTCTGCTGTAGAACCAGGGGATAGACCAGGGTTTCCCATCTGGGACATTCACTTACTGTTACAGGAAAGGTCCTGGAGAAAGGCCGAGGTCTGAAGGAACTGCTCAGCATCCCCAACTCAGCCATGGTGGTGGCTCTGGAGCCCTACGAGCCAGGGACATGGCTGGTCACGGTAGGCTGCTGGCAGACCTGCACATCCTCTGCCTTCCCTGATGGGTATTTAGTTTGCCAGGCTTTTCCAGGTGTGGACTTTCCCCATCCCTCTCGGGCCAGGCAGAGGATGTGTGAGCAGGCTGAAAAGGGGCCGGCTGCAACCTCTCCCTTCCCATCTCCTCTCCCTTCCCCTGCCCTCAGCACTCGGCTCTCAATCTGATTCCAGACCCGCAGCAGTGGCCGCCACTCGTTGAGGATCACGGGCATCAGCAATGTGAATTTTCAAGCCAGCTTCTCCAGCCAGCCGGAATTTGACAGCAGCCAGCCCGGGGAGCGGCCTGTGCAGGGTGAGGGTGGTGCTGCCCGGGGGGGGCGGATGCTCCATCTGGGCGTTTTGCAGCCGGGAATGTGGTTGGTGTTTTGTTCTCTCCCTGCTTTCCAGGTCTGCCCATCTCTGTGCTGGTGAACTGCAGCGGTCTGAGGCCGCCTGGGCGCCTGCAGGAGATCGAGCTCTTCAACACCTCGGGCCACGTCCTGCTCTCGCTGCCTGCCCAGCCCCTCTTCAACTCCTCTTCCTCCGGCTCCACCGCGCAGCTCTGGGTGGCTTCGCCGCTCTGGGTCCCCCCGGGTGACTTTCTGCTGAAGGTGAAGGGTGAAGATGCCCAGGGCCACCCCCTGCACCGCCTCTCAGGGGTCACCTACACCAGCGTGGTCCCTGGTGAGTGCAACCTGCGGGTGCTGAGCAGGAACCAGAGGCTCCAGCAGTGCCCCTGCTTTGGTTTCTCCTTGGTCATTCTGCTTCCCAGTGAGTTTCCAAGAGTGCTGTACATCTGCACGTCCCCAAATCCTTCCAGGTCTACCTAAAGTGAACATCTCCAGCAACATCCAGGCTTACAACCGTGAGCCACAGCTCATCTCCTGCTCTGCATGGAGTGACATCCCTTTCCATCTGCAGCTCAGCCGTGGCAGGATGAAGCTCAGGGAAGGGCAGTTCTTCAGGTGAGCCTCTGGTATGGCCCAGTGAGCCCCAGGTCCCTGAGCTGTGCCAGCTGAGGAGGTGCTGTGTGCTGGGTGGGTGCCTTCAGGTTCTGAGCATACCAAGATGAAAATTCCATGGCACAAGTCTGCAGTAATTAGGGATGCACCTCTTTGCCTGACTCAGACGAAAAAAAAGTCCGAATGGAGTAGGACTAGTAGGATGGTGGCATGGCAGTCCCAAGGTGAGAGTGATCCATATTTTCATGTCTTTCTCTTTGTAGGATTTCAGGGAACATCAGCTGGTTGATCCCTGCAGTGTCCAAGAGTGATGAAGGCTTTTATGAGTGCACTGCCACGAGCAAGGTCGGAGTGACCCGAGCTCGTGCCTACGTCTCTGTCTCAGGTGGGGGCTGATCGTGCCAGAGCCCTTTCCATGTCTGTGGCTGGGCACGGGCTCCTTTCACCCAGGCATCCCATGTTTGTAGAGCCCCCACCACGTCTCATCGCCCCGGGCAACATCACGGCTTCACCGGGCCAAGACGTGGTCATGTCCTGCGTGGTTCTGGGGGATGTGCCCTACAACCTGACCTGGAGCTGGGATGGGAAGGCAGCACAGCCAGGGGACGGCCGGACCCGGCTGCTGCAGAACCATTCTCTGGAGATCAGCCCCGTGCAGCCAGGGGATGGGGGCCTGTACGAGTGTGTGGCACAGAGTGCCCATGGCACTGCCACCGCCTCCCTCTGGCTCTTCATCCAGGGTAGGCTCTTCATCTTTGCCCCTGTGTGGGACCCTGGCCTGGGGGATATTTTGCTGCCCTGTGGGAGGGTGGTGAATGGCACCCAAGGGCTGAGTCCTGCTCCAACCCCGTGCAGAGGCTCCATGGGTGAAGGTGGACCCCAGCCCGCAGCGTTTCCGCAGGGGCCAGGAGCTGCGGCTGAACTGCACGGCCGGGGGCCACCCCCAGCCCCACAGCACCTGGAAGCGCTGGGGCTGGGCACTGCAGCAGGATGAGAGGTAACCCCTGGGGACCCAGGAGCCTCCATCCTGCCTGTCCCACAGGGATGGTGCTCCCCTTGCAGGGATGAACGAGCTGAGGGAGGGAGGCTTGGGGCTGCCTTAGCTCTGGAAAGAGGGAGGCATTGCAGTATCCCAGCCCATGCTCCTGAGATGCTTGCCATGCTGCTGGCCTTAATTTCCTATATTTATTTTTAAGCTGTCCTGCCTTATCCAGGTCACTGTCGCCACTTTGCACACCTGGTGTGAGCTCAAGCCTCAAAATACTCCTTGTACTTCCCCTTAATTTCTTCTGCTTTTTGCCTTTCAACTCCTGCCTGTGTCAGGCTGTGAGTGCCAGAGTTGACTTTGGGGAAGGCTTTTGGACTTTTGAGATGAAAAAGCCCAGTTCTCGGTGATTTTCCCTGGTTCAAAGGAAAGTCCTTCCTTGCAGCAGCTGGCTCTAAGTGCTGACCCACATCCACCACATGCCCAGCATGGCCTGAAACCTGCTCATTTTTATCAACACATTTTCCATCATCCCTGTTTTCTCAGGGCTCATTTCTGCCTTTCTCTCCCATTTGCTGCAGGGTTTTCAGGGATGCTGAGGGTACCTTGCACATCAGGTCTGCTGTACCAGAGGATGCAGGGAATTACAGCTGCTATGCCAGCAGCACACTGGGCTGGGATGAGCAGGGGATCACCCTGGAGTTCACTGGTACCTGCTCCCTGGCAGCACACTGGGAAGGGGGCTGTGTGTGATGGAGAGTGCTGGGATCGGCACACTGGGAATGGGACTGTGTGTGATGGAGGGTGGTGGGGGACGGCTCCCAGGGCTCTGGGGTCCCCTCGGGTTGGATAGCACCACACCCAGCACAGCAGAGTGACCAAAGACATCTCTCCCCATGGCACAGAACCTCCTGCCATCCTGGCAGTGACGCCCAGCCTGAAGGTGCTGGTGGGAGAGGATGTCACCCTGGAGTGCTGGGTTTCGGGGGCACCCCCACCGCACGTCGTGTGGTACAAAGGTGAGACCGGGAGCAAGCGCTGCAGGGACGTCACACGCGGTGTGTGACATCAGGAGGGGCCCACGGAGGCACGGGGGGTGCTGACGTGGGGGTCTCGGGGCAGGCGAGCAGGTGATGGCGACATTCCCGGCGGGCACGCAGCGGGCGGTGCTGCGGCTGCAGGCGGCGCGGGAGGAGGACGCGGGGCACTACGGCTGCCAGGCTGGCACCGCCTTCGACAGCACCGAGCTGCACGTGGGCTGTAAGTCCTGCTGTGCCTGCACAGTGCTCGGGCCTGTGCCAATGCTCTCCTTCCTGGCTCAGCTCCCCTTTGCTGCTTTCCGAGTCTCCCGGGTTTCCCAGCAGGGAGGTGTCAGTGCTTGGTACAAACAGGAGGAAGCCTGGGAGGATTTCCAAGATTTGGGAAGGTGCAGGAGGTTCAACAAGTGGGAAAAGACAAGACAAAAAAGTTGTTATTGCACAGGGACATGAGGGATGCAACTGGGGATGCAAAGTGCATTCAGTGGGATTAGGCAGAGGTGAGAGCTGGCTTTTGTGTGTCTGAAAAACTTTTGCTGGAGGCAGAAGGAATGAAAGAGCATGAGGAGGAGGGAAGGCTCTGTGTTGAGGGCAGTACGGTTTAAAGCAGTTAAAGATGGGAAAGTGCAAGTTATTTTGCTGAGCTAGGGATTGATGAGTCTAACTGGAATAGATGGAAACTGCAACGGCTCTGACAGCTTTGGAAAAACACCAAATGCTTTAAGTCAGTCTTGTAAGTTGTCAGAGCACCTGGCTCATCAGTTTTTCAGCCTCATCCCTTCTCCAGGCTCAGCTGTGGGGAAGCTGAACCTGCCTGAGCCCTTTCTCTGCTGCTCTCTCTTCCAGCTGCCCCTCACTTTCCTGAGCCCCTGGGCGACGTGGAGGTCGAGGTTGGGGACAGAGTGAGCCTGCTGTGCCGTGTGGAGGGATCTCCCCTGCCACAGGTCACCTGGTCCCGGCAGGATGGGAAGCCCGTGGTGGGCTGGCAGGGACCACAGGATGTTTCCAGCCAGCTGGAGGCTGCCCAGCTCCTCATTGAGAGTAAGAGCTGAGTGTGCACACATTTATTTGTACTTTTAACTTGTGCAAGCTTAACTGTGCAGTAACAGCCTGCAAGCCTCCAGCTCTGAGGGGCCTGTCCCCACTGGAGATGGTGGTGGGGCAGGAGAGGGTGGTCTCCACCCTGGAGCTTGCTCAGGGCTCGCCAGCCCCACCAGGCTGAGGCTTCTCCCCACTGTGCTCCAGGTGCCTCGCTGGATGACCAAGCCATCTACATCTGTGAAGCCCAGAATGAGTTTGGGAAAATCCAGGCAGAAGTGAAGCTCACAGTCACAGGACAGGGTTTGTTTTTCTGTGCTTTGGTCGGTGAATCGATCCCAGCTGTGCTGGCAGGGAGTGAGTGGCAAACCAGAGCAGCTGTCTCTGGTCCTGAGCTGGTGGCCACTGTGAATGCTCAGCAACCCCAGGGCAGGGTTTGGGCAATGCCTTTCCAAGCCCTCTTTGGCATCATATACTGACATGAGCCGGAACTGCAGTGAATATCCCCAAATTCCTGGGGGAGTGGGACTGGAACTGGCTTATGCTGAGCCGGGATCCAGACCTTGGACGAAAGGTGATCTAGGTCTTTTCTCCTGGCTGTTCCTGGCCAGTTTATCACTGATTAATACCGGTTCCCTTTACCCTCTTTCAAGCAGCCCCAGAAATAGCTCTTGCATCCCCCGTGGTCCGTGTGCTCCCAGGCCAGCCCGTGTCCCTGCCCTGTGTGATCCTGGCTGGGAGCCCATTCCCAGCCCGCCGCTGGCTGAAGGATGGGCAGATGGTGAGACTCCCATGCTGCTGGGATGGTGGGTGGGGCGTGGACACCTACCCTCTGATGGGACTTCACTGCAGGATGGGCCCCTTTTCACCCTTGGGGTGAAAGCTGCTGATGAAAGAATCCAGTGGAGCATTTGTGTTGGGAAGGCAACGTGTCTATCTCCACATCAGGATGTTGCTCAAGGATTCATTTCTGGATGTGCCCCAAAGATGCAGGGATATGTTGGTGTTTGACCCTGCCATCTGTCCTGCTTTCTGCTCTCTGCCCAAGTCCAGGTAGCCCCAGGTGACCGCTATTCCATCCGGGCTGATGGCAGCCTGCACGTGGACCAGGCATCACTGGGGGATGCAGGGACATTCACCTGTGAGGTGACCAACGCCCTCGGCTCACACAGGCAGGACATGTCCCTGGTCATCCACGGTGAGTGACAGGGAGCTGGGTGTCCCTGCCCTGCAGTGACACGGGGCAGGTGCTCTCTGTGCTGGATGTGGCCCTGGCCATGCAGGATGAGGGGCTTCTCTTCCTTCCCAGTTCCTCCCAGCATCGAGCCTGGCCCTGTTCTGGTCACTGCCACCGAGGGAGCGGCTGTCACCCTGCAGTGCAATGCCACCGGTGTCCCCCCTCCTACTGTCACCTGGACAAAGGTAGGTGACAGGGACAGGTGGCTGCTGTGCCCCTGCCAGGCTGGGGCCACCCTCGGGTTCAGGGTAACGTGTTTGAAGGGAGTGTGGCTCTCCAGTGTGGCTGTGGCTGCCTAGGGAGGTGACACTAACTGCCCTGGGAATTTGAGACCAGGACATGGCTTGCTCTGGTGTGTCCAGGGCTCTCCTTGCCTTTGGGATGTTCAGCTCTTGGGAGAATCCCTGCCTTCCTCCCTCCCCTTTTCTCTGTAGGGCACAGAGCCCGTTTCACTGAGCCCACACTACCAACTTGACCCCAATGGGACCCTCCTGATCCCTTCATCGTCCCCTGGAGATGCTGGCACCTACTTCTGCACAGCCACCAATGCAGCAGGATTCTCCAGCCGGGAGATGCAGCTCTCCATCAGCAGTGAGTGCTCAGGACAGCTCCAGAGGGGACTGGCAGGGAGAGAATGACCTGGGAACACTCCTGGCCTCCTTGGAGCACTAATCCAGGTGCCAGATGGGTTTGCAGGTTGGGTTTGTGGGGCACCTGAAGTGTCCCTGCACCATCTGTGCTCCCTCTCTATCCAGCAAAGCCCAGGATCAGCCTGAATGGATCACAGGCATCAGACCCTGTCACTGTCCTGGCTGTGCTGGGGCAGGAGACCACCCTGCCCTGCGAGGTCCAAGGATATCCCCCTCCCCTGGTGGTGTGGAGCCGGGAGCCCCAGCCCTTGCCTCTCGCCACCACGAGGTAAGGAGGGTCGTGGGTGCTGTGGACTGTGATGTCCTGGGATTTTGTGTCTCTTCAGAGGGATGTCAGGTCCACGAAGGGACTCAGCTGCTTGGCAGGGAGATGTGAAGGACACTCCTGGCATCCTGTGGCCAATGCTCAGTGTGGGAGCTGAGGCAGCTGAGCAGTACTGCATTAGCTCTGCTCTCCTTGGAGAGCACCAGGCTTTTTTTCCATCTTCCAAACATCTGCTGGGCCCAAGCAGCTGCTTCCAATCATTCATGTGCCTACCCTGGACACAGGGCTGGGGTTGGGAAGGAAAGGCAGCTCCAGTGCAGCTCCTCACCCTGCTCTCTGTCTGCCTTGGTGCACATTCCTGCCTTGTGCTATCACAAGGTCAAGGATGTGCCTGGGGATGGCGGATCCCTGTGGGAAGTGTTGGACCAGGGGTTGATGCTTCTTGGGATGAGGTTTGGCACAAACACAGTTTTTAGCCCAGCAGTGGCTTTGTCTGCACTGGGATGTGGGGTTTTAGGCCAGTTTTGTTCCAGTGAGTGACTTCTGTTGATGGTGTTGAAGCTGATGACAGCCGTGAGACTGTCATTTAATGTGATTTGATGGGTGAGGATAAACACATAGCCAACCATCTCCACGCTATCTGGTGTCTTGGTCTTCCAATGTTTTCTCCATATGTTAGCACCATGTTGGAAGGGACCCCCTAAAGTCACGGGCCTCAGTCTTGGGGTTAAACCCTTCTTTCCACGTACCTGAGGACTGCTGTGGCCTGGAGAAGCAGGAAGGTCTCTTGGTTTTGCTCTTCTTGGGGGATGTATTGCCTTGTTGTTTGTGTCTGATTTGCCATGGTTGTTCCTGGCTGACCTGTGCTGCTCCCCACATCTCAGCTGGTTTGTCTGTGCTGGGTGATTTATGGGAGCACACGAGGAGGAATCTGCAGCCGTGGGCTGAGATGATGTTATGTCTGTGGAGCACAGATGAGGCTGGGAATGAGAGCATGGCCAGCTCCAGCTGCAGGGACTGTGCTCTGGGGGGACCCTTGTTCTCCCTCATCCCTCTGGGCTCATGTGCTGAGCTCGTGCAGGGGCTGAGCAAGGGGGATTTGCCCCATGGGCAGCTGTGCCACCTTCTTTGAATAGGAAGTGGCCATGGTGACCTCCTCTTGGCTGTCCCAAGGTGATGGTGAGCTCTCAGCCCTTAGCTCCTGCCCAGGGTTAGGTGATGGATGACATGGCTGTTTCTCCCATCCAGCTTTTCTGTTCCTCCTCCCTCAAGGTACAGTGTCCTCCCTTCAGGATCCCTCCACCTGGCCGAGCCCCAGGTGACAGACACTGGCCTGTACACCTGCACGGCCACCAACGCTGCAGGGAACGCCTCACTCAGCTACAGCCTGCACGTCCAAGGTTCAGACACCCTCCCTGGGCTCCGTGTGCCTCTGGGGTCCTGCACCCTCCAAACCCTTGGCTGCTCTCACGTCCCTGTGCCAGGATCTGAGGGTGGTCCCAGCCTGAGGTCCCCTCTCCCCCCAGCTCCCCCCCAGCTGTGGATTGGTGATGGGGAAAGACACCTGGCAGCTGTTGCCAACACCTCCCTGAGGATTCAGTGCCACGCCACGGGCATCCCCCCACCCCAGATCCAGTGAGTGCTGCAGAGTGCTGGGTGCTCCCTGTGTTCCCAGGATGGGTGGTAGGGGCCTCTGGCTTGGGGTGTCCCTTAGGGTGGGAGGCATCCATTCCTTCTCCTTGTCTCTCGTGTCCTCTGCTCAACAATCCTCTGTTGGCACTGCCAGCCCCATTCAAGGGCTGTATGAGGGGACAGTCCTTGCTGCCAGCAGCACACCCTTCACCCTGTTGGTGTGCAGAGACAGGGTGTGGGTGGTGGCAGACAGACCAAGGACTCGCTGCCTGTCCCCTTCCTCACAGGTGGCTGAAGGATGGGCACCCGCTGGATGGGCAGGAGGGTGTGCTGCTGTCCGAGGACGGTGGCACTCTGCTGGTCACCCGAGTGGGGCTTGGTCACCAAGGGCTCTACATCTGCCAGGGCAGCAACTGGGCAGGGCTGGCCCAGGCAGAGGTGCAGGTTTCAGTGCATGGTGAGCGCAGCATCTGGGGTGAGACCTGCTGTCCATCCCATGTGTTGGGAAGAACGTGGCTGCCCAAAGGGGTGGGAGTTCTTGGCCCAGATTTTTGGGAGGTTCAGGGTCACTGGCTTGAGCCCTTGGGATCTTGTTTCTTGGTCAATGAAGCTGAGAGCTGATGGCACCACAGTAAATCCTTGACTGGTGCTTCCTGCTGGAGGGCTCTCCCCCAGCCCCATTTCCCCTCCACCAGCTGGATGTGACTCTGAAGGTACCAGGTGAGAAACCAGGCAGGGAATGGAGATCCCTGCCTGGGAAGGATGAATTTCTCATTGGGGCAGGGACCAAACCTGCGGGGTGCCTTGGGGAGCAGTGCTGGCACCAGGGGGTGATGTGGGGAGTGGGGGCAGAGCTGGGGATCCTGGCTGCTGCTCTGCCAGGGCTCGGTGTGTGCTGAGAGCCAGGTTCACAGCCTGGCTGTGCCCAGGGCTCTGCACTGTGGTGGCTGCAGGCAGTCCAGGTCACACAGAGCCCATGACAGCGGGTGCTGGGTTGCAGTGCCCCCAAACATCGAACCCAGCGTGGTGGATCTGGCCATCCCCGAGAACAGCATGGCATCCCTGGAATGCCTGGCCTCCGGGCTGCCTGCTCCTGGTGAGTCCATCCTGTCCCTCAGCTCTTGCTCCTGAATCCCTGGGGTTTTTCCTGGCTGAGGAGGGCAGCAGCATTGCTCCCCTCAGCTCAGCTCTCTGCTTCCCTCCAGACATCACCTGGTACAAGGGGCAGGAGCAGCTCTGGCCCGGGGCAGGACTGACCCTGTCCAGGGATGGGAAGCTCCTGCAGATCCCCCGTGCCCGACTCTCCCATGCCGGCAGCTATCGCTGCGTGGCCTCCAACGGGGCCGGTGTGGCTGAGCTCTGGTACAGCCTGCAGGTCACTGGTGAGTGCACCTGTGGGTTCCTCAGAGACGGGGGCTTCCCCCCTGGAATATCTCGTGTGGGTGTGGGATCAGTGGGGTTGCCCCAGCCCTCGGGATACATCCCTGGATGATGGCCCTAGCAGACTCCTGTCCTCTGCTTCATTTGCAATTCCAGTCATGCAATCCCCTGTGTTAATCCCAAATGATGTCCTGGAGAGGATGGATGGGTACTGCCAGGTCTCCATTACAGGATCACCTACCCACCCGTCCCTTTTGCACCCTGTGTCCGGGTGACATTTCTGTTCCCCTGGACTCGATGGAGTCAGTGGTGACTCCTGGGCTGCTGCCGAGACAGGCACTGGACGCTTTTTCTCACTTGATCCAAGCATCCCTGCAGCTTCCCAGACCACTCAGCCTGTCCACAGCACTGGGGGCTGAGCCAGGCTCTGGCTTTTCTCAGGGATGCTCTAGGCCAGTTGGTGGAAGTCCTGCAGGCAGGTGGCCAGGGAGTGGAGAAGATCCAGTTCTCCTGCTCTGGGCTTGTTCCTGCAGTCTCTTCCCAGGGAAATGTTTGCACGTCTGCCGTCCTGGCTTGGGTGGATTGTTTGGGTTCTGCTGTTTTTGTTTTTCAAGGGTTTCTGGGTGTTGGAGCTTTTCTTCTCCAAACTGATATCCCTCATGGGAAGGAGTTACCATTTTCTAGCCAGCTGTATTTATGAGCAGCTGAGAACATCATCCGATAATGGAAAGAGTTGGGTAACCTTCAATGAGCAGGGCTGCCTAATAAGGCTGTGTCTGGCCAAGCTGACCTTGGCCTGCTTGTGGCATGCTTGGTCATCCTCTGCTGTTGGCCACGTGCAATTAAAAGCATCCCTTGCTTGGCTGGAGAGACAAGATTATTGTTTCCACATGAAGCCAGGGCAGGGGAATGTCTCTGGGCTTTTTGTGGCACCCAGCAGGGCTGCAGGGGGTGTGTATCCAGCAGGATGGAGCTCCAGGGAGGAGCTGCCCTTCTCCTCTTGTCCAGTGCCATCCATGAGCTGCTCCTCTCACCCCTGCAGTGCCTCCATCCTTCTCCTCGCCAGAGCCCGAGGCTGTGTCTGTGCTAGAGGGACAATCTGTCCAGCTGGCCTGCGAGTGCCATGGAATCCCCCTGCCCTCCCTGAGCTGGTGGAAGGACGGTAGGGCCCTGTTCCTCAGCCTCATCTCTCCCCACGTGGGTTCACCCAGCCTTGGGCTCCTTGGAGCAAGGAGCGCTTTTTGTTGAGCAGCATCCAACTTCTGGCTGGGAATTTGTCCTGCTGGGAGCCTGAGGGGAAACTGCTGTCCCCTTCCCTGGGCAGGTGAGCCCCTCTCCACCCAGGCAGGGAGCCCAAAGCTGGTGTCCCCAGGAGGGAGCGTGGTGTACATGGAGAAGGTCCAGCTGCTGGACCAGGGGACGTACATCTGCGAGTGCAGGAATTCTGCTGGCAGCAGCAGCAAGGAGCATCACCTGGAGGTGCACGGTGAGCATGGGGGACCAGAGGCCTGTGGGGGTGAGTGGAGGTGCTGTGACTTCTCTCCACGCAAGGTCCAGCTGGACCCAAAAGCCATTGCCTGGTGCCTTGGATATTTTGGAAGGGATGCTGCTACCCGAGTCAGCTTTGACCCTCCACACGTGCATGGCTGAGGGAGTGGCTGCACATCCCCTCCATCCTCTGTCCCTTTGCCCACAGCACTGCCAAGGGTCCAGAGTAGCAGCAACGCCCTGAGGAAGGTTTCTGTCATCGAGGGTGGCGAGACAGTTCTGGAGTGCGAGGCCATGGGGACACCAGCACCGTGGGTGACGTGGGTGAAGGACGGGCAGCCCCTGGCTGCTGGGGACAGGCTCCTGCTTACAGAGCAAGGGAGGCGGCTGCACATCCCCAGGGCAGAGGTGGCCCATGCAGGACACTACACTTGTCTGGTCACCAGTGCAGAGGGGCAGGAGCAGAGGGAGTTTGATGTTGTGGTGCATGGTAAGGACACGGGATGGGGCTGGTGGCTGGGGTGGATGCAGGCAGGATGAGGAGGGTGGTGATGTGGAGTAACTGGATGTGGAGCAGATGTGGGACAAACCAGCATGTAGCAGGTCTCAGGGTCAGCAGGGTATGCTTCAGGAATAGCTGTAGAACTGTGTCCATCAGGCAGGAGTTTCTTTCCAGAGCCATCACAGCAGATCCCCTCATATAAAGTCCTCTACTACCCAAGGACTTGGGCAAACCTCATGGGTCAAGGTCACTTGAGTTGTAAAAGGTCTGAGGTGGCTCAGCCTGTGTGGCCATCCCAGTGTGACACCCGTAAGCCTCAGGTGTTCAGGTAAGTGGCATGCACTTGCTGTGGGTCACCTGTCCCATGACACCTTTAAAGTCACCATCTCCAGGGGATGCTAATGGTCCTTCTGGATTCGTATTCTAAAGCTGTGCAAAGCAAGGTGGGAAAAAACAGGTTCACCCGGTTCTCCCCTCTTTGCTTCACTCCTTTGATGCCCTGACTGCTTTGCAAATGGATGTCCATCATTTTCTGCATCCCCAGTTCCTCCTGAGTTCATTCAAGGGTCAGGACTGACAACCAATGTCAGCGTTTCCCTGCAAGGATCCCTGACACTGACCTGCGAGGCCACTGGCATTCCCCAGCCCACCATCACCTGGTTCTGGGATGGCTCTCCTGTCACCCCCAGCGAGCACACACACTTGCTTTCAGGTCAGCTGGCTGCTGTCAGAGATGAGCACTTTGGGAACGTGTTTTGTCCCAACACTGATGAGCTCAAACTCATGGTGGAGCTACAGCCCCACAGGAGCACTGTTGGGATGTGCTGGTACCTGAGTCACAGCTCTGAGACCTCTCTGCTCTGTGCTTCCAGGGGGCTGGCTGCTGAGGCTCACCCATGCACGAGCCCACGATGGTGGTCACTATTCCTGCCTGGCCAGCAACATAGCTGGGGAGGCCAGGAGGCATTTCTATGTGCAGGTCCTAGGTAAGGAGGAGTCTTGTGTCTGCTGCAGGATTCCCGGTGGGGTTTCAGAGCTCCACCCTTGCAGGAACAGACATGAGTTAAGACTGGACATGCTGGGTGTGCTGGAGTCCTTAGGATGTGAGCTCAGAGGCCAAGCTGGCCAGCTGCTAAATCCCTGGGGGCTTGTGTTCCCAGTTCCTCCCCACATTGAGAAGGCGGGTGAAGAACACACCTTCAGAGTGCCCGAGGGTCACCCTGTCACCTGGTCCTGCCTGGCTTCAGGTGAGCATCGAGTGGGAGATGGGGCTCGGGGACAGACCTGAGTCTCTCTCTGGGGTGTGGAGCAAGTGGATGGCACCAGTCAGAGACATGGAAACAGCTGAAATGGGCTGCAGGGCTCTTTTGGGGTGGTTCCTGGCTTTGCAGTTGTTCTGTCCGGGAAGAGCTGGGGAGGGGACGCCCACGTGGGGAGCTTGTTCCACAATGTAAGCTCCAATCTTTCCCAAATGGATCTGAAATTCTTCTCATCTCATTTCTCCTTTAGTGATGGGAATAATTAATCACCTCCCACTCAGGACAGTTCTCTTTCTTCTTGCTGGCTCATCCAGCAGCTTCAAAAATCCTGATCCAGATCATGATAATTCTGATTTGGGATGATGTTCCTGCTTTCCAGAAAAGCTCTGACAGTGATCCCAGCCAGGCCATGTTCACACATGGAAAAACTTCACACAAAGGCCAAACTCTGCTTTCCATTCCTCCCAGGCAACCCACAACCTAAGATCACCTGGCTGAAAGACAACCACCCTCTCCCTGGCACCTTCTCCATCTCCCCTGATGGCTCCTTGTTCCACATCCCCCAAGCCTTCCTGGCCCATGCTGGTCGTTACTCCTGTGTGGCCTCCAGCTCTGTGGGAAATCAGACCAAGCACTACCTGCTGGATGTTTTGGGTATGAGATGCCTTTGGATGGAGGTGTGAGAAGACTTAGTGGGTTTTAATGGCATGTCCCAGGTAGGTAGGGAGGGTCCTGCAGCCAAAGCATAGCATGGACCTGTCCCAAAGCCCTTGTGAGGCCTCTTGGAGGAGCAGAATGCAGTTGTTTAGTGCAGGATCCAACTGTGATGCTGGCTTGTGGGAAGGGGGGATGTGTCTTCAGGATCTCTGTGTTTTTGGAGGGCAGCAGGACAGGGCAGAGTCTGAAGTTGGCACACGCTGTGTCAAGTCCAACTCCCTGAACTTGGACCTGCTCTCTGCTGGGGGGGATGAAGCACTGTGAAGCCTGAGTGTGTGCAAGTGCTGTAACACACAACCATGTCTCTGCAGCCAGCCCCACCTTTGCTCGAGATGATGCTGCTGCAGAAGAAGTGACAGTGATCATCAACAACCCCATCTCCCTGGTGTGTGAGGCTCTGCCATACCCATCTCCCAACATCACCTGGCTCAAGGACGAGGTTCCTCTCAAAGCATCCAGGAATGTCCTCCTGCTCCCTGGTACCGTGCTGCTGCCCACTGCTCTGCATGACTGTGGTGGCCCCTTGCTGTGTATGCCTTGGGGAGGGGAGTGAGGCCTTTTCTTGGTCTGGCTGGGGTCCAGCACAGTGGGATGGTGAGAAATCATCATCCTGCAGGACCTGAGGGCTCAGGCCATCAGCTGGATGCTGCTCTTCCAAGTGCTACATCCTCGGATAATAACTACAGCCTCCCCAGTGCTGGTTGTTATAAGCCTGGGACTGGGCTCTAGAGCATTAGGAGCATTAGGCTCCCTCCAGCCAGGCTTGCAGGTGCTCAGCAGGTCCCTTGAGATGCCTTCAGGTGCTGCATGGGGGGAGAGAGCTGTGGCTGTGAGCAGTGACCCTCTCAGGAGACCCCCTTTGCCCAGGTGGCCACGGGCTGCAGATCCTGAACGCCCAGGAGGAGGACACGGGCACCTACAGCTGCATTGTGGCCAACGAAGACGGGGAGGCTGTGAAGAACTACGCTGTGAAGGTCCTGGGTGAGAGAGCTCCCCATGTCCCTCCTGACTCCTGCAGTGACCCCACCACTGTAACAGGGCCAGCGCTGCTCCCTTTTGCTCCCTTTTGCTCCCTTTTGCTCCCTTTTGCTCCCTTTTGCTCCCTTTTGCTCCCTTTTGCTCCCTTTTGCTCCCTTTTGCTCCCTTTTCTCCCTTTTGCTCCCTTTTGCTCCCTTTTGTCTTTTCCCCACTAGTTCCTCCTTGGATTGCCAGAGAGGATCCTTTGGGGGACTTTGCTGTGAAAGAGGTGAAAGCCAAGGTCAACAGCACAGTGGTGCTGGAGTGTGAGACCTGGGCTGTGCCTGAGCCGACCATCCGGTGGTACAAGGACAAGCAGGTGAGGTTCCAGCTGTGACCAGGGAGGAGCTGCTGGGTTTAGGGACTGTTCCAGCTGGATGGAGTGGGAAGATATCCTTTATACACCTGGCTGGGCTCTGCCCCACTCCTGGGTGTGTAATTCTCCTCCCACCCCTCTCTTTCTTCCCTTCAGCTTCTGGCAAGTTCTGAACGCCTCCAGATCCTCAGTGAGGGGCAGGTGCTCCAGATCCAACCAGCTGATGTCTCGGATTCGGGGCACTACACCTGCGTGGCCACCAATGCTGTGGGTGAAGATGACAGGGACTTCATCGTGCATGTCCAAGGTGAGCAGAGAGCCAGCACCCAGAGCAGGGGGTGTCTCAGCAAGAGCAGGGGTCCTCAGGGGTCACTTGTGGGACCACAAAAGGATGAGCAGGAAAAAAGTTTAAGCCTGCTGGAAAACAATATCTCCTCAGCTCCAGTGAGGGCAGATGCTGTGGATGCAGCTGGGGGTCAATGTCCCTGCTCCCCACAGCTGACCACAGCCTGTCCCCGCAGTGCCCCCCATCTTCCAGCAGCAAACAAGCCCCAAAGAAGCCCTTGAGATCTTCTATCGGGAGGAAGACCAGGATGGGGAGGTGACAGAGCACCGACAGGCTGTCCTTGGCCAGCCCACCGCCCTCTACTGCGACACCAGTGCCATCCCACCCCCCCAGCTCACCTGGTACAAGGATGGGGAGCCCCTCTCCCCTGGCCCGGGGGTGCTGATGCTGCAAGGTACTGGGTACTGGGTGTGAACCCTCTCTGTGGGGCTTGGGGGTGGTCCTGCAGCAGCCTTGTTGGGATTATCCATAGCATGGACGAGGTTGGACCCTGTCCCCTTCCTCCTGCCAACACACACAGCACCCGTGGGACCTCTGAGTCACTGGGGCTGTATAGGGCTCTGTGCAGGGTGGGTTGGGGCGGATATCCCACAGATCCTTCCTGTGGCCTGCCCCAGCCCTGTCCTGTGTCACAGGGGGCCGGGTGCTGCAGCTGCAGGCGGTGCAGGAGGGGGACAGGGGCAGGTACACCTGCGAGGCGGCCAACGCTGCGGGACGGGACCGCCTGCACTACGAGCTGGAGGTGCTGAGTGAGTACAGGGACAGGGGACACTGGGCTGAGGCACATGGCAGCCCCATAACCACCTGCTTCCAGCTGCCCCGGCCATCCGTGGTGGCACGGAAGACCTGGTGGAGGAGGTGACAGCCACCATCAATGGCACGGTCCGGTTTGAGTGTGAAGCTACTGGGCACCCAGAGCCCACAGTGTCCTGGCTCTGGAATGATCTCCCCATCGAGGCTGGCCCACGGCACCAGCTCCTGGAGGGTGGCACAGTCCTGCAGGTTTGTGCTCCTCTAAGCAGGTGGCTGTGTTGGGGAGAGACACAGGAGACAGCAGATGGAGGGGATGGGGCGTCCTTTCCTCCCAAAGGAGGCTGCCCTGGTCTCACCAAGATGCCCATGGGATCCCCAGCATCTCCCCAGCTCGGGGCAGCCCTCAGCGGTGCTCCCCTCTGCAGGTGGCAATGGTGGAGGCAGGTGACACCGGGAGATACACGTGCACGGCTGAGAACCTGGCTGGGTCAGCCGAGAAGCACTTTGCCCTGGCTGTGCAGGGTAAGGCATCTCCCCTTCCCTGGGTCACTGATTCACTCCCCTCCTCCTCTTTCTCCACCAACTGGAGTTTTTCCTGTGGCTCTGGAGCTGCATGGCTGCCTCTGTCCTGCTGTGCTGGTCACGCTTGCCCTCTGTGAGGAGGCTGAGGTGCCACATGCTCCGAGCAGGCGAGAGCCTTGGTGCGTGTTTCCTCCTGAGGAGGCATCGACCTCCACAGTGATGGCTCCCCTTTGGGGCTGTTTTTTGGGTGCACTGCAGCAGAAGCTCCCTGGAGTGTGGGTACAGACCCCGAAAATGTCGATGGCATTGTCAATGGCAGCGTCTCACTGGTGTGTGACATCCAATCCCACCCGGCTGCAGAGATCGCCTGGTACAAGGACGGCCACGTTCTGCAGCCCAGTGAGGAGGTGATTGTCACCCGAGGTATGTTGGGATGAGCCAGGAGGATTGCCTGTGCCCCAGCTCTTGGCAGAGAGCTCTGGGTCCCCTAATCCCCCTTTTTGGGTGCCACATGTGGGTCTGGAGCTCAGCCTTTGGGTTGTATGACACCCTAATGACACTGCTGAGTGATCCCCTCTGGAGAGGACCAAGGGCTGCATCCTGCAGAACTCCATGCTGCTGCTTCCTGGGAGCTCAGTGTCCTTTTCTGTGGGGCACAGCAAGGCTTTGGACCTCAAATATTAGATTTCCATGGCCAGATTCCTTTTGTGTGGAGCTTGGCTGAGTGCTGGGGGATCAGTCAGCTTGCTGGCATGGTGGCCCGGACCTGGTTCTGCTCCAGGCTGTCCTGATTCCCTGCTCTCCACTCCTTCCAGGCTCTCGGGTGCTGCAGCTCCCTCAGCTGCAGCTTTCCAGCTCAGGCACATACACGTGCATGGCACTGAATGTGGCCAGCCAGGATGAGAAGAGTTTCATCCTCACGGTCCATGGTAAGTGGTGAGGGCTCAGCTGGGAGCTCTGTCTGCCGAGGACGCACTGAGGAGCTGACAGTGAACTCAGGTCTGTCTCACGCCCCCTGTCCCTGCTCATCGTCCTCAGAACCCCCAAGCATCCAGGACACACAGCAGGAGACGCTTGAAGCTGACGTGGGGACACCCCTGGTCCTGACCTGCCGAGTCACTGGTGTGGCCGTGCCCACTGTCACCTGGCTGAAGGACGGGCGCCCGCTGGGTGTGTGTGCAGGGGAATGCTGTGCCAGGCTGCCACCCCCAGCCTCACTGCTGATCCCCTCCAAGCACTCCTGCCTCAGTTTCTCAAACTCTAATCCTGCTGCAAGAGACTCTCAGGGCTGCACAGGGAGGGCACAGAGCATGAAGGGGCTGGCCTTTTCCCTGCATGCTTTTAGGAGATCTCAGGTTCATTCCTGAGGCTCGAAGCAATGGGATATGGGCACAGGACGTGATGGAGGGATATGTGCGGGGTGAGTTCTCTGGGGTGCTTGCTGGGACGGGGTTTGCCCCCAGACCAGTGGCTCTTTTCTCCTGTAAATCTCCAGCAGTGAACTCTGCAAAACCCCTGCTTTGCTTTAACAGTGCCCCTGGGCCCTGGCAGGGGAGAAGGGGGAAGCACAACGAGCCTGGGGAGAGGTCAGTGGAGGAGCACTGCTCAGCCCTTTTCACCCTGTCTCCTTGCAGAGATGAGCCCAGAGCAGGGTCTGGTGGTCGGGGGGACCCAGCTCCAGCTCAGCCCCCTCCAGCCCTTCCACCAGGGCCGATACACCTGCCTGGCACAGGGCCCAGGGGCCGAGACACGCAAGGACTTCATGGTGCTGGTGCGAGGTAGGGTTTCCCCGATCAGCATGGTCCCTGCAGGCTCTGCCTCAGAGGTGAGCCTTCCTCCCCCTCCTCTCCCTCAGCCTCCCTCTCTCCTCGGTGCAGTGCCCCCCCAGATCAGCAGTGGAGAGCACCCCAGTGAGCACAGCGTGCTGGAGGGCAGCAGCGTGAGGCTGGAGTGCCGGGCAGAGGGGCAGCCCACTCCCCACATCTCCTGGCTGAAGGATGGGCAGCCCCTGGGGCTGGAGCCCCCCTCACACGCCCGGTGAGTCTGGGGGGGACATCCCAGGGGCTCACGTGCAAAATTGCTGGGCAGGACAGGTTGAACTGTGCTGCTTCTTCCTGCTGCTTGGAGTGGGATGCACTCATCCCGGCTCTTTGGTGAGGGAATGTCATCCTGGGTTAAACCTTGTGGTCTGGGATGGTCACTGCCACCCTGGCAGGGTCCCTAGTTGATGCCCTGACCTTGCAATGCGCCCCAGAATCCTCACCCTTGGCTGTAAACTGAGCACAGAGCACTTCTGCCCCACGGGCAGGTCCGGGATGAGCACACAGCTCAGGGTCCCATCGTCCCCACGCAGGGTGTCCCCGGATGGCAGCGCCCTGCTCCTCGAGGGGCTGCGAGCCGCCCACTCCGGAGCTTACACGTGCCTGGCCTGGAACAGCCTGGGCGAGGACACGCGGCTGCACTCGCTGAACGTGCTGGGTGAGCAGGGCTGGGAGCCGCGGGGAGCACCGGGGCCACCCCTGTCCCCGACAGCCCCAGCAGCCCCTCTGTCCCCTCGCCCAGTCCCTCCTACCATCGAGAGAGGTGCCGGTGACTCGGAGATGGTCCGTGGGGTCCTGTCGGCCGTGGTGACACTGGAGTGCTGGGCACGGGGGTCCCCTCCTCTGCATGTGAGCTGGCTGAAGGACGGGCTGCCCCTCCGCCTGTCCCCTCATGTCACCCTGCTCAAGGCTGGGCACGTCCTCCGGTGAGAAGTGACCCTGGAGCAATGGTCAGCCGCAGGCTGTGGGGCTGGTACCCGGGTTTGCATGAGGGCACTGCTGCACCCTGGCGTGGCTGAATGTCACCTCGGGGAGCAGGGGGTGACCCGGAGCTGATGTCTCCTCCCCATCCCCGTGTCCTGTCCCATGGATCAGGATCTCCCAGGCGCAGCTCTCCGATGCCGGGCGCTACACCTGCGTTGTCTCCAGCCGGGCGGGAGTGGCCGATCGCAGCTTTGTCCTGCAGATACAGGGTACGGGGCAGGGGACTGGGGAGGGCAGAGCAGGGGGCACCTAAACACTGGTTTTGCTGGCGGAGCACACGTTGGGCATTGCAGCCCGTTCCCAAGCAGGGTCCTGAGCCATTCCTCCACTGCTGGGGTGGGCTTGGAAGGGATGGAGCAAAGCAGGACCAGCCTGAGAGCAGCCTCAGAGCATCCTGCAGGAGGGCTGAGCCACCTCTGGCTGCTCGCAGGATGCCAGGGAGTGGCCAAACCCACCCCGTGTCTGGGGACCTGACTTTTCTCCCCAGCGCCCCCTGTCCTGGAGAGCCCCGAGGGCAGTGAGGAGCAGATGGTGGCTGAGGGCTCCGATGTCACTTTCACCTGCGAAGCCACCGGGTCCCCAGCACCATCAGTGACCTGGCTGAAGAACGGAGAGCCCCTGGAGCAGCAGAGTGACCAGGTGCCTGGTGGCTCACAGCTGAGCCTGGTGGCCGTGGCACCAACTGATGCAGGCATTTACTCATGCCTGGTGGTGAATGAAGTGGGAGAGGTCAGCAAAGCCTTCCACCTCGTGGTGATGGGTGCGTGTCATCCCTCTGGGATTTGGGAAGGGCAGTTTAGCCCATTTTTTGGGAGCAATGAGGGGATGAGCCCTCCTGCCTTGCTGTGTGCCTTGCAGAGCCACCCCGTGTCGAGTCTGCGTCCCATCCCACTGAGATATCCATCACTGCGGGCACCCCTCTGGAGCTGACGTGTGTGGTCACAGGTGTCCCCATGCCCGCTGTCACGTGGGACAAGGATGGACGGCTGCTGGCAGGGCCCTCGCTCGTGTTGGGTAATGAGAGCACCCTCCACATTGAGAGCGCTGAGGTAGGAGCTTCGCTTTTTTCTCCCTACCTTGGTTTTCTTTTGATGCCTCAATTTTTCCCTCTCCTGGCTGTGCAGGTGGCTGATGCTGGCTTGTACACCTGCCTGGCCACTAGTCCTGCAGGGGAGGACAGCAGGAGCTTCCATGTCAGCATCCAAGGTAGTGTGACCCCAGCAGTGCAGCGAGAAGAGGGCTAGCGGGGGGGGCTGCAGGATGGTTCAAGCCTTGGGGACCCAGAAGCCAGAACATCCTTTTTTGGGACTGGTGTGGGCTCCAAAAGAGAGGTCTGGAGCACAGTGATGGTCCTGCAGAGTGGGAATCTATGCATGACTCATGAGGACAGGGATGGGGGTGTCCAACCCACGTGGCACACCCTGACTCCCCCGGCCCATGTCCCACAGCTCCCTCCAGCATTGCCAGCAGCGGGGAGATCCCCATCATCACGGCTGTGGCAGGGGGGCAGCTGCTCCTGGAGTGCCCAGAGGCTGCTGAGCCGCACCCCAACATCGAGTGGCACCGGGAGGGCTCCCCGCTGCAGGTACCTGTGACGGGACCAGGGGGATCATGCTCGGGGACCATCCTGCTAGTGCTGGGTGGCTGCTGATGGGATCCCGGGGGTTTTAGGAGGATGCCCGCAGGCGGGTCCTGGCCCAGGGGCGTTTCCTGCAGCTCCGGGCGGTGGCTGCTGCAGACGGCGGCGAGTACAGCTGCAGGGCCACCAGCCCCTCCGGCGACACTGGCCCGAGTGTCCGGGTGCAGGTTCACGGTGAGTGCTGCCCTACCCTGAGTGCCGGCTCCTTCCCGGTTAATTCCAGGATGTGAGATATTATTGGGTGTCTTGCGGTCGGGAGATGGGATGGCAAGGCTGGACTACACCCAGCCCCCAGTGCTGCTCTGGGTTGGAGTTCTCCATCCCTGAGCCTTGTTCCACACTCTCGGTGGTGGCTCTGGGTGCTGCTGCAGTGGCCCCGGAGATCCAGGCGGGCCCCGAGGAGGTGAAGGTATTGCTGAACACCTCGGCCGTGCTGCCGTGCCGGGCAGAGGGGTGGCCCGTGCCCCGGGTGACGTGGAGGAAGGATGGCCAGCTCCTGCCCCTGCCTGGGAGTGACAGGTATGAGGCTCTGCGGGTTGGTGGCACCAAGAGTGGTGCTCAGATCATACCACCCTTCACAGCAACAGGTGATTTAGTGTGGCAGTCACCCTGTGAAGAGCTGTGCTGTGTCCTCACACCATCTCAGTGGGCAAGAGCTGCATGTGGCTGCAATGGCACTTGTCACCTTCCCAGCCCCTGCTCCCTGTGTGGTGTAGCCTGGCCATGCAGAGCCCCTGCTGGGTTCACTTGCTCTCCCTCCTCAGGCTGCAGCTCCTGCCTGGAGGCTCCCTGCAAATTGACCCTGTCCAGGTCCAGGATTTGGGCCATTACCTCTGCATGGCATCCAGCCCTGCTGGCTCTGACCGGCGAGGCCTGGACCTCCATGTCCTGGGTAAGTGGGAGAGTGGGATGGATCCCTGCTGCAACCCACCACTGCTGGGCTGCTCTCACCAGGGCAGTGATGTGCTGCTGTCCTCTGCTCATCGCTGCCATGGCCTCCCACAGTCCCTCCTGCCATCGTGCCTGGGCCCTCCAACCTCACCCTGCTGGCTCAGCAGCCAGCCACGCTGGGCTGTGACACCTGGGGGTCCCCTGAGCCCCACATCAGATGGGAGAAGGATGGTCGTCCCCTGAACCTGCACCTCCCACCTGGCACCTACAGGTACCTGCAGCACCCACCACCTTGTACACCAAGGGGTGGGGTATGCCCCTCCTGCTGCCCCCCGTGGGACAGGGGTGATCCTGATGTGTGCTCTGCCCGCACAGTTTGCAGTCCTTAGGGTCACTGCTCATCTCCAGCCCTGGTCCCCGGGACGAGGGGCGCTTTGAGTGCATCGCCACCAACGCTGCTGGAGAGGCACGAAAGCTCTTCCTCGTGTCTGTCCATGGTGAGCTCCTGGAGCTGGGGGTCGTGCTGAGAGTGGCTTTCCCTCTAGTGTGATCTGGGTGTGCTCCAGCCCCACATAAGGTTGGGTCTCCACTCAAGAACTGGACTTGGGGGTGGACAAGAGGGGAAGAGAAATGCTTGTGCCCGTAAGAACAGGGACAGAATTCTCTTCAACATCTACCACACAGCCCTGCTCATCTCCCTCCCTCCTTACTCCAGTGCCCCCCACCATCGCTGATGACCTTACAGATGTGGTTGTCACCCGGCTGTCCCCTGCAATCCTCACCTGCTACGCCTCGGGCGTGCCCCCACCCACGGTGTCATGGAGCAAGGAGGGGGCTCAGCTGGGCAGCAGAGGAAGGGGCTACCGTGTCCTGCCCAGAGGTACAGCACAGGACAGCACATCCCCAGCGGGACAGGGGTCACTGCCAGCCCTCCTGCTGCCTCCCCTCTGCTGTTTTCCAGGAGCCCTGGAGATCAGGCAGGCGCTGCCTGCACACAGCGGCCGCTACACCTGCACAGCTCGGAGCGCCGCGGGCACGGCCCGGAAGCACATCTGGCTCACAGTGCATGGTACACACGGCTCCAGCGTCCTGCTGCTGGGGGTCCTGCGCCCTCTTCCCATGGTAGCACTTCCCTGCCCTTCACAGAGCCCCCTGCCTTGAAGCCCCTGCCTGGCATGGTGATGGTGACGGTCAACACCAGCGCGGTGCTGTCCTGTGAGGCCACAGGCGTCCCCCGGCCAGAGGTCACCTGGCAAAAGGATGGCGTTGGCATCACTGGAGGTGAGCAGGAGTGTGCTGGGGGTTGGCAGAGCCCACATTACCCGCCAGCTTTTAGCTAAGGGGAGATTTAAGTGCCAGGGGTTTGTAGGCATCCTGGCAGGTGTGGGGTGTCACTGTGCATGGGTCCTCCTGGCTCCCCAGTGCTGTCCTAGGTGGGTGTGGTGGCTGCTGGAGCTGTTCCATGGAGACTCCTCGGGAAGAGGCACTTCTGTGGGCGAAGCAGTCCCTGCATATCATCCATCTGTGCCTTGGCTCAGCTGTGCTGTCCCATCCTGTTCTTTGTTTCTGCCAGGGTCTGGGCTGAAGGTGCTCCCCAACGGGCAGCTCCGTCTCCTCCGAGCAGCCCCAGAGGATGCAGGGACCTACCTGTGCATGGCTCGTAACCCTTCAGGCACCGCTGCGGGGAGGACCAGGCTCATTGTGCAAGGTACAGCATCCATCAGAGCCCCAGTGCTCACCCCTCTGCTCACCCCTCCCCAGCACCTCACAGCAAAACGTGGCTGCCGAGCTGTCAGCAAGTCCTTGCCCTTCTTGCTCCATCCAGTGCCCCCCATCATTGCTGCTGGCCCACTGGAGCTGGTGGTGCTGGAGGGGCTGGAGGTGCTGCTGCCCTGTGCCGCCCGTGGTGTCCCTGAGCCCCGCGTGTCCTGGAGCCGGGAGGGAGCCCTGGTGCGGGGTGGGAAGGCCACGGTCCTGCCCTCCGGGGAGCTGCTGCTCCGGGATGTCCAGGTGAGCACTGTCCCCTAGAGAGGTTGGAGAGCTGAGGAACGAGTGTCTGCTGCTGCTGAACAGCATTTGGCTGATTATGAATATCTCTGGCAGAGGGAGAGCCCCGTGCAGTCCTGTGCCACAGGCTGGAGGGTTGGGGCAGTGTGAGATTGCTAATGTGGGCTGGAAAAAGTGGCTCTGTCTAAACTATGATTTTTAAGTGCACAAGAACCAACAGAGCTGTAGCTCAGTGAGCCAGGGCTGCAGCTGGAGCCCAGACTCAGGATGACTGATGACCTCTCATCCTTATACAGGAAGGGGATGCTGGAAGCTACTCCTGCACCGCGGTGAACTCTGCTGGGAGGGCCGTTCGCCGGCTCTCCCTCTCCATCCACACCCTGCCCACCTTCACCCACCTGCCCACAGACCTCACCCTGAGCCGGGGCGAGAGGCTGGAGCTGCTGTGTGCCGCAGTGGGCAGCCCCCAGCCCCGCGTCTCCTGGATGGCCAACGGGCAGCTCGTCACTGGTACCTGGGCAGGGGCAGAGGATGCTGAGCTTGGGGGAGAACGCGACTCTGGTGCCACCCTTGTCCCACCTTTCAGGGTCCTCGGGCTGCCAGCACGTCTGGCTGTGTGGGGTTGTACCCAGCTGATGGCCAACCACCCTTTTTTGGGGTTTGCACCCCGCAGATGGTGCGTCGGGGCACAGCGGGCGGAGCATCCTGCGGAGGGAGGCAGCCGCACCCACGGACAGCGGGACCTACGTGTGCCACGCCGAGAACAGCGCCGGGGCCATCAGGGCCACTGTCTTGGTCTCTGTCAGAGGTAGGTGCTGGCACGGAAATTGGGGTGCCCGGCCAGCCCCCCTCCTCTGCCACCCCTTTCCCTTTCCCAGAGGCGCCCGTCATACAGGGGGATGGCAGCGTCTACCAGGTGGAGCACTCCGGAGGGGATGCCATCCTCGACTGCCGTGCCCAGGGTCACCCTGAGCCCCTCATCCGCTGGAGCAAGGACGGGGTGCCAGTGGTGGCCCATGGGCGCCTGCACCAGCTGCAGAATGGCTCCCTGGCCATCCGTGCTGTGGGGGTGAGCAGGGCCTGGGGGGTGCTGGCACATTTCAGGGTGCTTTCCTGGCAAAGCAAAGCGCTGTGCTGATGCTGTTGTCCTGCTAGAGCACCGATGTGGGGCAGTACCAGTGTGTTGCGGAGAATGATGCGGGCACAGCAGCAAAAGTTTTCACCCTGGTTCTGCAGAGTGAGTGCTGGCCCCCTCTGCACCCTTCTTTTGAGGGACTGAAAACCTATCACCTCTGAGCCCCTCCAACTACCCCTGATTCTGGGGAATGCTGCATCACTACCTGCATCCCCTTCCCTGCCCAGGTGCCCCTGTGGTGACAGTGACACCAGCAGAGGTGAGGGTCCCTGCTGGGCAGCAGGTGCTGCTGCACTGTGTCGTGTCAGGGGAGCCCACCCCCTCCGTGGAGTGGCAGTGGGATGGGGAGCCACTGCCCGAGGGTCCCCATGCTCGTGTCCTGCCCAATGCCACCCTGTTCCTGCCCTCTGTCACCCACCGTGACGCCGGAAGCTACTCCTGCCTCGCCCGCAATGCCCTGGGCTCTGCTGTCGCCCACACCTCCCTGGATGTCCAAGGTGGGTGTCTGCCCCGGCCCTGGGGGTTTTGGCTGGCTCAGGGGGCTGGGGCTGCCTGCAGTGCTGGGCTAACACCTCCAGCGTGGTGGCTTGGAGTGATACTGCCTTGCTTGTTCTAACCCCTGTGATTCATTCCCTGCTTTGTCCTCTCCCCTCTCGCACTGCTCAGCTGAAGGCTGAGCCCAAGCAGGTCCTCTCCCGAGCAGCGTGCCAGCCCTCACTTGCCTCTCCTCAGCCTTCCTGCCTTAGTTGCCCATGATTAAATTCCCATTTCCCAGGGGCTCTGCTAAATGCACAGACACATCCTTTCCTGCTGCCCCTCGGGAGCACAGAGCCATGCTGGAGGAAGTGCCAGGTGCCCTATGTGCCCTTGTGTGGCTGGTGGCATTTTGCTGCCAGGCACGCTGGAGAAGCAAATAAAAGCTTGGGGCTATGCCAGGACCTTGAGGCTAATACAGAGCAGGGTTTGGGGGTGTCAGTGCCTGTTGGTGTGATGAGGCACAGGGCCACACTCAGCATCCCTTGTCAACACGACACAGTGCCTGGAGCCATGGGTCTCTGGGGACTGTGCTGCAGTCAGGCAGGGACACTGCCTGTCTTGCTCTGGATGCCTTCACCTCCAGAAAATAAATATTTTTTGACATGCGAATTAGTGAGAGGGGAGTCAGGCAAGCACCCTGCTCTCCCATGGGAGTACAGTCCCAGTGTTGCTGCCTGACCCCATCCCACTTGCCCCAGGGGAGCTGCACCGGGTGCGGGGCAGCCTGGTTGGTGTCATCAATGGCCACGAGCTCGGTGTCTCCACCCTTGATGCCAGCGTGCTGGGTGACTCTCAATCCAGCACCACCGCCCTCCGGAGCAGCATTGGGAGCATTCCACCCGCCATAGGTGGGTGGACATTTCTACCCTCACCCTTGGGAGAGTTTTGATCTCTGTCAAATGGAAATATTGGGGGAAAGGTTTTATTTCTTTTTTCCCCCCAAACCTTCCACTGTGGGTAAGGAGGGATGGGACAGCCTGGGTGCCATCCATGCTGGCTCCATGGTGGCACCCTTTCTTCCCCATTCCCAGGGCCGCTGATGCGGGTGTTGGTGACCATCATCGCCCCCATTTACTGGTCCTTGGCACACACCAGCGGGGCAGCCCAGAGCGGCTTCCTGCTCACACAGGGCACCTTCCAGCACGAGTCACTGCTGCAGTTTGCCACAGGTGAGGGGTCTCTGACAGGAGAGCCTGGTCAGCTCCTGGGGAAGCTCATACTCCATCTCCCCCATGCACCATCCCTGATCCGGGAATGGAGCTGTGTGGGGGTGCTGTGGGGTGCTGCTCACCGTTCCCCCTGGTTATTGGGGGTGCTGTGGGGTGCTGCTCACCGTTCTCCCTGGTCATTGGGGGTGCTGTGGGGTGCTGCTCACCGTTCTCCCTGGTTATTGGGGGTGCTGTGGGGTGCTGCTCACCGTTCCTCCTGGCAGGGGAGCTCCTGCGGGTCACCCACCTCGCCCGGGGCGCGGATAGTGCTGGCGCTCTGCGGCTGGACAGTGTCATCAGTGGCTCCGTCCCGGAGAGCTTTGGCGATGCCGTGGTGCCGCTGCAGGTGCTGACACTGCCCATTATCCCCATGGGACCATGACTCCCCTGCTGGGAGCACGGGGAATCCATGGCCTGACCCCCGTCCCTGCCTCTCCCCAGGACTTCAGCGAGCGCTACGTGCGGACGGGTGTGGGGCAGCTCTCCGGGGGCTCGGTGCAGAGCTTCCTGTGGGATGGGCACCTCATCCGTGCCCACTGCAATCACACCATCGTGTTCGACCCCCCCGTGGGGCCACAGCCTCCCCGGGTGCAGCACCTCCGGGCCAGAGCCATCACAGCCTCCTATGACCCAGCCAAACAGCAGCTCCACTTCCAGCTCCGTGCCTCGCTTGATGCAGGTAACCAGGGGAGTCCCCAGGATGGGGATGGAGATCTCTTGTCAGTTCTGGGTGTCTGTGAGGGTGCAAAGGCCATCTCCCTGCAGTGACATGTCACGTCTTATTATCTCTGCTCAATCCACAGGGGCAGATAGAGACCAGTGCCCGCTGGGATTCATCCCAGACCCTGGGCAGCTGTACTGCATTGGTACGGACCCTTCCTGAGGGACATGAGGATGGCAAGGGGCAACTGGTGCCACTTCCCTGTGCCCCCAACCCTGTCCTCTCCCTGCTCCCCAGATGTTGATGAATGCATCGAGGGGTCCCATGCCTGTCGCTACAACCAGATTTGCCAGAACGCCGCCGGGTCCTATCGCTGCTCCTGCCCTCCTGGCTACCGCACGCTGGGCACTGGCTGGCCGTGCTTGGGTATGAGCTGGGCTCTCAGGGTCATCCCCCTGCCCTGTTCCAGCCTCAGTTTCCCCCATCCAGCTGCACCTCCCCACCTCTTTCCTCCCCCAGATGTCAATGAGTGCCTGCATTTCCCCCCACCGTGCGCCTTTGAGTGCCGCAACCTGCGGGGCTCCTACGAGTGCCTGTGCCCCGCCGGCAAGACCCTGCTGCCGGGCGGACAGTGTGGGATTGAGAGAGGGGACACAACGAGCAGCGTGCCCCGGGACACTCCCCTGCACTGGCAGAGGCCAAGTAGCCGCGCACGGGGCCGATCGTTCTACACTCAGCTCGCCCTGCGCCGCGTGGCGAAGGATGCAGGGATGGGCGCCCGGGGCCCGCCCTGCCCCACGGGCTACGTCAGGAGGAATGGCACCTGCACTGGTGAGCGTGCACTGGGGAAAGGTGTTGAAGGGAATTCAGAGGCTGCTTTGTCCCCAAAAGGTACCTCTTGTCCTCCTTGCTGCCTTGTCCACCGCGCTTTTTGTGCCCTGTGCTCTTTGCTGAGCTGGGAAGGGGAGGTGAGAGCCAGGCTGGCCCAAGGCAGTGGCACCAGAGGGGCCTGATCCTTCCCCTCTTGTCTTCACCCCTCTCATCCCACAGATCTCGATGAGTGTCAGACACTGCACCAGTGCCAGCACGAGTGCAGGAACAGCCTGGGCAGCTACCGCTGCCTCTGCCCCACTGGCTACCGGCTGCTGTCCAACGGGAAGACCTGCCACGGTCAGTGCAGGGGTGCCAGGGGGGTGCCCCCTCCCCATGGTGCCCTGGGGATCATCTTTTTGGGGATGGAAGTCTTTTTACTTTCTTGAGACAGTTGTTCCCAGACTCAGCACTCCACAGTCTGAGTGCTCATGTCTCACTGCCTCAGTGTTCAGGCAGATGTGGGAGGGTGGGGGAGCTGGGGATTGAGCCCCCATCTCACCCCAGCACCCTCAGACCTGTCCCTGCTCTCCCTGCAGATGTGGATGAGTGCGTGGAGGGCACAATGAGGTGTGGCTCGAGCCAGATGTGCTTCAACACCCGCGGAGGTGCCCGGTGCATGGATGTGCCGTGCCCAGCTGGGTACCGGAGAGGCTCCAGCCCAGGGTGAGTGCTGCTGTGGGGCTGGGAGTGCCCATCCCGCTCTCCTCATCTCACCAAGACCCCGAGTGTCCTGTCCACTCTCTGGCACCCACCACACTCCGCATTCCCCGTCTCTCATGCAGGCTGTGCGTGGGTCGCTGCCCTCCGTTCTGCAGCCCTGCCGCCCCCCCCACGCTGCAGTACCAGGTGCTCCCCCTGCCCCTCGGCATCGCTGCCCGCCGGGACGTGGTGCACCTCACCCCGGCCACCTCCCTGCGCCACCGGCCCGTCTTCAGGCTGCTGGAGCAGGACCCCGACAGCCCCTTCGCCCTCCGCACCGAGCAGGGTCAGGGCATCATCTCCACCCTGCGGCCGCTGCGGGAGCCCGGCACGCACCGGCTCAAGGTGCAGGCGCTGCTCCCGGATGGGCAGCGAGCACCCAACATCTTCCTCCTGCTCATCTCTGTCTCCCCCTACCCTTACTGACACAGCCCAGGGACAGGAGGGGACGCAGGGTCATTTCTCCTCCTGTCCCTCCCCACCACATCGGTGGGGCACGTGGCTCAGGGAGTGCTGAGTTTGTACCTCTTCTGTCCCTCCCAGACACCTCTCAGCTGTGTTCCTTTCACCCAGATCCTGCCCCTGACTCAGCAGGGGAGTCTGGATCCCGGGGAGAATAAGATGTCCCACCAACCTCTTGTAATCAGGTCCCAGATCCCAGAACAAACACAGCTCTGGATGGCCTTGGCCGCTATCAGCCCTTAAATGTGGGGGGTGGGAAGATGAACTGGGTGACAGTGGCCAGCAAGGGTCCCACCAGGGTGCAGGGAGGGATTCTCTGAACTGGGGACGGTGTGGGGCACCCCAGCATTAACCATGTATTAAATTGAAATAGTATTTTTTTCTTTGTTTTTTTTTTTAAATCTACTTGGTTTCTGTGCACTCTTATTGATTTATGAAGATGTCTTTGGCTAAATATTAGCTGTGCCTGAAGAAGGCAGCTTCCTTCAGTGTGTGGGAGAATTCCCAGGGCTTAGGACACCTCCCTGCCTGGCCTTGGACCATAACAGGGAGGTTATCTGGATGCAGCAATGCCAGAAGGCCAATGTCCAGCCCTGAAGGTCCAATCCTGCTCTGGTGTCAAGTCCCTCAAGCAGCAAGAGCAGGATGTGGCCTCTCTGCACATGGTGAAGATGGAGGCTGTTCCCAAAACACTTTCAGCCCTAGCTGATGGTGTGGGATGGGGTGTGCAGGCCCAGGAGACATGAGCCCACAGGCACCAGGGCTGGGCCATAGAGGCTGATGGTGGCCGTGCACCTCCTGTGGTCAGATCCTCCCACTGGAGCTGGGTCTTGCTGCACCTGTCTGAGATTCCCCTAAAAATCTCTGTGCTTTGGAATGGAGCTTTCCTGTCCTCCAAAGCCATGTGTGCTGTGGGTCTGGGGTGCCCTGGGCATGTGTGAAGGGGAAAGGTGAGTCTGGCCCCATGGACAGCCCTCTGCCCTGTCCCCTCCTGCCCACCCTGGCTCCTGCATTGCCTCCTGATGGAGGTTCAGATAAATCCAACCTTCCTCCTTCTTGCTGGTGCAGGGAGGAGAGCAGAGCACCATCTCTCCTCTGCCCCCATTTTCCCTCTCGTCAGGGGCAGGTGACTCCATGGAGTCCCCCAGGGGGTATGACAGCACTGGGTGCTCTGGAGGTCAGGAATGGAGGGACAGCTGTGGCAGCACCCAGAGCGGCCATGCAGGGCATGGGGCTGGGTACTGATTCCATCCCGGCCTGGGGGCAGCTTTTCCCCCTATTCTGCCTGGCACCCGAGGGCAGGAGGAGCGCAGGGCCTCTCCTGGGGACGGTGCCCAAGGGGGGACTGTCCTGCGGCGGCTCCGCCTGCCTACGCCCGCTTATAAAGGAGGAGGAAGAGGGGGAGGATGCTCCAGGCACCGGACCAGAGCACCGAGGGCAGCCGGACACCGGGAGTGAGTGAGTGTGGGCACGGGGGGAGAGGGGAAAGAGGGGAAAGGGGAGCCTTTGCCTTGGGGGATGTCCCCTCATCCTGTCTGTCCCTTTTTCACCCAGCCACGAGTGTCCCCCAGCCCGGGTGCTGGAGCAGGGCAGTGGAGTGCCAGCCCCTTCCCAGCGCTGTGCAGACTGCAGTCAAGCCCTTCCTAGCTCAGTTTGGGATGGGCAGGGGGTTTCCAAGTGAGTCCCGTTTCCTTGAGGTCCCCTTGGGCACCCTCAAGGGTGGGAACTGAGATCTCAGCCGGTACCCCCTCGTGCCCTCTCCACTCTGCACTAGGGATTTTGGGGGACAGGATGGGACCTCCACGAGGTGCAGGAGTGATGCTGAAGAAAATCCCAGCACCAGTGAGCACATGCCTCTGGTGCTGGAAAGGCTGTTCCTGTCCCTCCTGCCTGCCTTTGCTCCTGTCCTTGCCCCTCCTGCCTGCCCCATCCCAGCCCGGCTGTTCATCCAGCCCGGCTGGCAAAGACAGTTCCTCTCTACCAAAGTTCCAGGCTTTTTATTCTCCTCCCTCTTCATTTTTATTTCTTGGGTTTAAAGCCGAAAGCACAGTTTCCCTTTGGCAGCCCTAGTCTCTCCAGTAAAATCCCTGCCCAAACTCACACGGAAATTGCTACGGAATAATAACAAGGGCTGAAAAAGTCCCGCCGCGTTCCTCTTCACCGAGCTTTGTTTGCTCTGATTTATTGCCACCGAACGTTGAAACTTCGGGGCTCTCCCTTCCTGGGCAGGCGGGTTTGGCACGAGCAGTGTTTCCAGAGCTGGGAACGGCCCCACCCCCGTTCTGGGATGCAGGATGCGTCTCCAGGACAAGGTGCCCCCAGGCCCCTCGGGCATTGCGACATTGGGACGTGTCTGAGCAGGCAAAAGTTGGAGGCATTTCCCTATCGCCCTGCTGGGCCACTTGTAGGGCGAGTATGCCTGGTCTCAGAGCTGCTTACTCAGGCTGGCAACCGCTCCAGCGATGCTGGTGGCCACAGCGGGGATGAGTTTGGGACTAAAGGAGGGAAGTTATCTCAAAAGGAGCCGCAGGCTCAGCGTCGGGGTTGGGCTGGGCCGTTTTGGGAACTGCGACTGCCTTCCTGTAAATGCTCCGCTGAGGAAGGGACGGCTGGACCTCGCTGGGCAGAGACCCAGCTTGGCACAGCCCCACGAGCACAGAAATGCTGCTTGCACAAGTCTGGGCACGGGCAGGCTCGGGGAGCCGGAGGGAAGGGTATGGGGCTGCCAGACCCCTTTGTTCCTCAGCAGGAACCCGGCAGAAGCAGGGCAGAGCCTGCCCCTGGCTGGCTCCAAGCCTTACCCCGTGGGATGCTGGCAGGCCCGGGATGCTGGGGCACACCTCGGCGTAACCACATCCCGCTGGGAGAGGTGCTGGGTGGGCCAGGCTGGAGCAGCCCGGCTCGGCGCCTTCCCGGCCCGCAGGAGCAGGGCTGTGCTGACTTGGCAGCAGCAGTGTGAAAGTTGCTCAGGACAGGGTTTGGCCGGCTCTGCCGTCCGCCTCCCCCGGCCAAGGGTCAGCTGGCATCGCCTCTTCATGGGGCCCTGGGATTCACAGCCTGGCCCAGGGACAGCAGGGACAGTCCGGACCCGCTTCCTGCCCAACCCTCCCCTGAGATCCAGGCTGCTGCATCCTTCACCATCTCCTGTTGCTGGCTGAAGTCCTCGATATCCTTGGCTGGAGGGTGAGAGGTGCTGAATCCCCACGTACGTGTTGTGTGCGGGCAGGAAACACGTGCAGCACAATTAGAACAAATGCCTCATAAGCATTAATTAGACTTGGGGCTGGGCTGGGCTCTAGGGGATGCTGCCAAGCCCCCCAGCCCTGCAGCCATTGCTGTCCTGATGGGCACTGGGGGCTGAGCTGTGGCAGCTCTGCAGACGGCCGGGACGTGCTGTGTCGTGCCAGAGCAAGGCATTGAGCTGTGCCTCTGCCCCAGCCGGGCGCCTGCGCCTGAGCCCCGGCTCCCCAGCCCTGCAGGACACGTGCAGAGAGTGGGGCAGGCTGTGCTGGGGCTGCCAGCACGGAGAACAGGTAAGAGTAAAACAGCCCTCCTAAGCTGCCCTGGACTCCTCCGTTGTCCAGCCACCCCTGGGTGCACAGGTTGGTTCACAGGCAGGGTGTCCACCCTGGCTGAGAGCCACAGCCTGGCCGTGGTCACAGTGCTGTGGCTTTTCCTCTTGCCCCCAGCCCTGACCTGGCTCCCTGCAGCCTGGGAGGGCTCTTACTTCAGCTGATCCTTGCCGATGGCTGCAGTAAGGGGCTGGTGGCATCATGATCCCCTTTTCCTTTGCTTTGACAGCACCATGGCTCAGTCCAAGGGCACAGTGGTCCTTGCCTACAGCGGGGGGCTCGACACCTCCTGTATTCTGGTGTGGCTGAAGGAGCAGGGCTACGACGTTGTCGCCTACCTGGTGAGCTCTGGGCTGAGCCCTGTCCTAGGAACTGGGGCTGTGGGTGGAGGGGGTGCTGGGCCATTGGTCTGTGGGGGTTTGGGTGAGCAATGGGGGTCCTGGTGCATGTGTGTGGCTGTGGTTGTGACCCTGCTCACACTGGTTAACCATGGCCCAGCTCACTGCTGCTCTGCTGAGCTGCCAGCCCTGTGTGGCACAGCCTGTCCCTGCCAGCTAATGACCCTCTGCTAATGAAGGCAGGGAATCAGGGCAGAGCCAAGGGGCTTGGCAGAGGGAGGCACGGCCCTGAGATATCCACCTCAGGGGGTGGAACTCCCCTCCTGCCCATCCTGGGTGTCCTCAAGCTCAGCCACCACGGGTTCTGTCATGCCTTGCATGATACCCTGTGCCAAACTGGGCTTATACTGGGTTTTGTGGTCTGGTTTCATACAGAGTCTTTTTTTTTTTTTTTTAACTGTTTTTCAGGCCAACATCGGGCAGAAGGAAGATTTCGAGGCAGCACGAAAGAAAGCTGTGGCACTGGGGGCCAAGAAGGTAAAGATGTCCCTTCCCTTCCTCCCCACCATGGGGATGAGCCCTGGGGTCTCACACACCCCAGAGAGGGGACCGTGCCAATAAGAAATCCCTTCTCCAGAGGTTTTCCCCCAAAGCCTTTCAGCAACACTTAGGAAAAGGGACGCAAAGAGACTTTTCACCGCGCTGTCCCTAAAACTCCAGAGGAGTGCGTTTCCCCCGTAGCGACCCTTCCATCAGGAATGTCCCTCTGCTGGCAGGTTTACATCGAGGACGTCAGCAGGGAGTTCGTGGAGAAGTTCATCTGGCCGGCAGTTCAGGCCAACGCTCTCTACGAGGATCGGTACCTGCTGGGCACGGCCCTGGCACGGCCCTGCATCGCCCACAAGCTCGTGGAGATCGCCCAGCGTGAGGGAGCCCAGTACGTGGCCCACGGGGCCACGGGCAAGGTGAGGGGGGACATGGGCAGGGATGGCTCCAGGTGCTTGGATGAGGGAGCTGGTCAGTCCGCAGGCCAAGTTTGGGTGCCAGGAGGGGT